TTTCAATCAGACATCCGTGGTTCCTGCAATTCCACTAAAACTAAATGTATCACCCAAAGACTTTGCGATTTGTGACATCATAAAATGCATAGTTTTAGTGGAATTGCAGGAACCACAGATGTCTGATTGAAAATTGGAATTGTGCACATTGAGTGGTGCATGCTATCAGTGTCCCGATACACAGAAAACCACTTTATAAACCCTTTAGACTATTTAGTCTTACTTTCAGATGAATTTTACCTTCACACATTTTTGAGAAGGGGCAGTTTAAAGTCAATTTAGAGGCTGTTGATCGATTGTTTAGTGACGTTTTATAGGTTATTCATTCAAACGACGTTGCTATCTTATCAATGAATGATGTTATTTGCATTATGAACCTCGCGTGAATAAGGTCCATTGCATGATGATTTACTACATGTCTGTTCATGAATTTTATATTGAAAACTGTCATTCATTTTTCAATGCATCTTTCTGGAGGTAGTCTTACGTATCTGGTCTAGAAACATTTTCCTAAAGAGTGGCCCAACATTTTCCTGCGATTCCGTTCTTATTTCATCTTATTAACTTAACAGGGTGATGGACATAAAACATTCCCTTTCTTCTGATAGCAATATTTCAAAGATAAAAAGTTTTATGACTTAATGAAAAATCGAATTCAAAAGTCGGAAAGCTTAAGGGATAAATATATTTGTACCTGTGCCCATATTTTTGCTACTAGACAAGTTTGGTTTAGATTCAAACCTTTATCTTAATGCAGTTATCACCAGTGCCCAAACCGTCCATATATTTATTGTGCCAAACCATTGGCAGATTACTGCCTTATTGACCGTCCAGCAGGGTTGTTGATTTTAGAAATTACCAACGGAACATTTTTACACTTTAAAAGCAAGAATTTGTACTAATTTTCATCGTGAATTCATAAATTCCAGAAAAATGGCACATTTGCATAGTAAATTTAAGCCAGACATTTTAGAGTTCATACATGACCGGCAAATACAGATAATTCAACAGCCCTGCGTTTCAGATATCATAGTCTATATATTTGTTATTTTGCTTTTTTTGTTATGTTTTTTTTTCTGTTAAATAATGATCACGGCCATCATATATTGCAATTTTTGGAAAGTTGTTGTTCAGAACTGGTTCAGTCAAATGCATAATGTGGGGTTTTTGTCACGGTCTCCGATATATTTAAGTTTTGTCTTTTCTTTTGTACATAATCTTACCTGAACAAACTGAGCCAATGCTTATGTACAAGGCCAGAAATTTGTGAATATTGGGCAATATTATGTTAAAAGTAGAAGATTTTCTTTAGAGAAATCGAAATTGTAACACATATTGAGTTTTTGTTTTAAGCTTGTCTTGAGCTGTATTTACATGTGTACACAAACTCAAACTGGACAAGAGAAAATTTGATCCAAAACCACAAGTCTTATTACATGTGTCTGCTATTTTCAAAACCTCCATAATTGCAAGCGATTTTTTTGCGTCTAGGGACAGCTGGCAGGTGAAAAAATGCAGAAATTCCCTTTATGGCATCATTTTTCATTTGTTTCCTGACCCTCTTTTTGTTGATGATTTTGCAGAATCATCGTATAGACACATGAAAGCAAGTTTTGAGTTTGAATTGCACTTACGGACATATGTAATCACATATGTAATCGCAGCTTTGGATCAAAAACATTTGGAATTGTGGAGATTGTGTAGATTGCTCACTCAATTTAAGTTCATATGATGAGAAGATTTCAGGGTATAATAATGTGTTTTTTTTTTGTTTCTATTTATTTTTCTTTGGTTGTGACATATTCTATACAGGGAGTTAGATATATTTATTTTATTATTTATTTTTCTGTCTCGAAATATTTAAAGAATTTGCCATTTTAGTTTTGCTTTAAAGCAGATCGGGTTTTTGCTGTTTTGACAAGCAGAAGTAAACCAGGGCTGTTAGCTATTTTGACATGCAGAAATAAAGCCAGCCTCGACCAACACAAAATTTAGAATTAAATTTGTCATTTTCTTTAAATTCTATATTTATTATATCTATTTCTGAGTCTAAATATTTTAAACATAATTTGATAAACATGTAGTCTTAAATCATAATTTTGTACGTTTTGATTGTGAAATTCCCAAAACTAAACATCTAAAGAAAAAAATGTGACTAATGATGTGCCGAATTTGAAAAGATGCCAAAAAGTCTTGAAAGAATGATTTAAAGCCACAAGCTTCAAGAATCTATGCAAACAATTCACATTACTCTAGGCAAATTTTTCCTACTTGCTTTATGTGCCTGGCTTCTGCAATTTAAAGGTATACTACCTCTTAGGATGACCAAAAAAATTGCAATTTTTAAACTTGGTTAAAAGGAGTCTTTGTTCATCAGTGAACTTATCTGGTGTCATAACTATATAACAGAATCTCTCTATAATCTAATAAATCTATAAAACTAAGTAATAATTCATTAAACTCTGAAAGTTTCTTAGTTGTTGCAAGAAATATTTAGTTTAATGAATATATTGTCTTATATAGAGATTCTATTAGTCATGGTACCTGGTAAGTCTAACTGGTGAATATATACTCTTATTAACCAAGTTTGAGAATAAAATTTTGTGTCTATTCTAAGAGTTAGTGTTCCTTTAAATAATTTTTTGAAGTAATAGTGTTTGTGTAGGTTTATTTTAAACCATTGTAATTTGTATGTGTGACATTATGTTGTTGATATAACAGAAATGATAAGTGTTGGATGAAAGGGATCATAATAGATTTTGCCTGATTATTGAAAAATATAAAAAATGAAAAAAAAAGCTTATTATTCTTATGGCCAAATTTGAAAAGATATTCGAATTTATTTTGTTAATAAAATGTGCTTATAAAATATTAAAAATGTCAACCACATGTAACTAATGGTTTAAATTTTACGAAAAAATTACCTAAATTTGATAATTATTATAAATGATGGTAAAAATTTGAGGAGAAAACTTTCAAGTTGAATTTCTATATTATATCATGTTATAAATGCTATGTCATTGATATACTATCTGTTCTGTTAGGTCCCATTCCTGAAAACTTGAAAATCCAAAAATCAGTAAGTTACAGAATATTTTGTTCGTAAAAACTTGAAATTCTTCAAAATGTTTTCAAGTAGAAATTGATTTAAAACTGATATGAAGGGATTTTGAGTTTCCTAGAATGAGGACCAAATATAATAATTAATGAATGCCTTTTCATTGTGAAAACCATAATATTTCATCAATGTATATTACTCATTTTATTGTCTGAAGATTATTAGTGTGAGCTCTGTTATTGGATTATGTATGATAAAACTATGTATGATTGATAATAAATGTAATATGTGTAACTGTAAATAAGTTTTGAAACAGAAGGGCAATACTTCAAAACAGGAGAGAAATTATGGTCTTATGGCCTATATGCATGAAAAATGTCAAATTATTTTCTGTTCTGTTCGATCTGATTTTTGTTCATGAAAATTTATGCTGGGTCTTTTTTTAATCTTTTGTACATATAATATTTGTTTGTAAATATTGACCTATGTTCCTGGCACTATTCCTAAAGCAATCTTGGCATCCTAGAAACTCATCTTCCAACACTGTTTTTATCTCTGATCTTGTTTGAAAATATTTCTCTTTTCTTGTTGTCATCTTTGTTCATGGATGATTTGATCTTGTCTGGGTCTAAATGTTCTTTTTAAGATGTTAATATTCATGAATAAAGATAAAATCTAAATATTCATGAATAAAGATAAAATCTAAATATTCATGAATAAAGATAAAAACTAAATTTATAGAAATCACATCTAATTATTCATGAATAAAGATCAAATCTAAATATTTGTGAGCAAGAGAGCTTGTGTCTTCATCTCTGCTACTCAAAAAAATACTGCACAGACCTGCCTTTTTTGCTTATGGGTTTGAAATAATATATAACTATTTCCATGAAGATAATACATTGTATAAATTATAATCACTATATAAACAATTATCACAGATTATTCATAAATAAATCACATAATATAAAAATTAAGCAGTTCAAATACAGGAAAAATTCAGCAATACAAAATGAATAAACCTCTTCTGAGGTCATTTTCATTTTTTAAAATTTGGTTTAAACAGTAAAATACTGTAATATTATTTGTAATACTATACAGTTGATTTTGGCAATATTTTATGATAGGTAGTACATCTAAATTAAACTGAATTGTATCTGTACTGAATTAAATGGTAACAATACTGCAATAATATTTATTAGGCTCTTTGGGATAAACATCAGAGGCCTAATTCTAGAAATCTAAAGATGATTTTAGTATTGCAATCATCTGATTGGTCAATCACTAAAATTGTAAAATTATTGTCCAATCAGATTACTCTATTTCTTTACATCTGGATTTTATCTTATTTTGTCAGAATAAGGCAGACCTAATTCAGAGAACTTCTACAAAATTTAACACAAGACAAAATTAGATAATTCATAAGTTATAGGTGGATTCCGCTTTTTTTGGTAAAACATTTTCATTATCAAAAACATTGTAAATTATACCTGAAAATATTTCTAAATTATGTTATTTATATCTATGTATCTACTTAATCAAATTGAATTTTTTTTAAAAAGGTTAATTAAAAACAGAGAGTACTAATTGTTAATAAAGCAGTTTGACCTAGTTTTGATGCTTAGCTTTATAATGGCTTGTTATATTTAGTTGAAACCTTTAGAATACATAGGAGACATATTTCTCTACAATTAACCGTTTATTTTACTCTCAAGTCCATACAGTAGTTTTTTTAACCTCTTTCAAACAGCAAAATTAACATTAAAATTTATGTAAACTATTTTAATAGTTTTGACGTTAATAAATTAATGGCTGAATTTTTTTTACTTAAAACTTTCAAATAGGTTAAGAGACACATTTCTCTAGATTGTGGTGTATAGTTTTCACAAATTTGAGCAAAAAAAAAATTAAGACCAAATAAAAAGCGGAATGCCCCTTTAAGTTACTTAGAAATAGAGTTATATGTAAAATTAGTTGATATAAAAATTCGTTTATGTTTCCAAAATAGGTCTGGAAACAGAGTAGGAAGGTCTATGGTGCACACTGCATTTTCACTGCACTGATTTGAGTGCTCCACAGAAGAAAACACAGAGCATTTAAATATTTCATTTTTCACGTCTAGACTCTCCTCTTTAATGACTGGTTTGATCCAGACTGGTGGTAGGTCTTGACATTCTTGACTACCAGTCTCTGTATCAGGTATGAGAAATGATCTGGATGCATCCCAGGTGGCATTATGAAGGGTCAGTCCTGTTACAAAAACTCCTGACTTGGGAGAGATGGAGGGAGAAAAATCAACGGGCATGACCTGAAAAGAGAAAATGATAATCATAAGACATTCAAAAATTTGTACAGAAATGAGATATTCAAGTGAATCTGAATCTGCCAATTATGGTTATGATAAAATACAGGGAAATATACAGCATATCTAATTGTGGCCTTTGAAGGGATTGTAAAGAGGTTTCTATATTTTTTCATGTGCATCAGGGACACATGTGATAAAGCATAATTTTGCAATTAGTGACATCATCAAACACTTGAGTTTTAGTGGAATTACAGATGTCTGATTGAAAGTTGGAACCCTTGATACACATAAAAATAAATACTTTTTCTTAAAATACTTTTCAAGTAAACCTTGTCAAAATTATTTAGGATCACTTTGAAGTTTTTTTTTTTTAGTGTAACATCATATAATTGGCCTAATTGCAAATCTAGATGCAGTTACAAATATATTGTGTTCAAATGCATTTCAAAGTTCATGTATAATATATTTCTTCAAAGAAAAACACCTGAAATTTGCACCATGTAAATCTCATCAGTACTCTAATATGGTTGGAATGCATAAAATTATAACAACTTTCTTCATTCTATAAATAGTGCAACTAATGGTGAGTATGATATGCCATTGATGCCCTCTGTGCACTGTGCACATGATCATTTGAGCTACTCTATAGTGGCTCAGTGAGTTAGACACTTGCTCGCTAACCTGAAAGTCAAGAGTTCAATAGGTCAAGGTAATACTTTTGGATTGTTCAATCTGGTTTTCCCCATGTCAATGATACAGGTAAGAGGGGCTGACATGGAAAAAGCATCTAGTCATATGGATAGAACAACACAAAGGCCCCATGTGCTATAGGCTGTGCACGTTAAAGATCCCTCGAGAGCAGGCTTATGCCGCTGTCCTGGCAAAATTTCCCTCATTGTACTCTGAATTGCGTTGCCTGTCTTCATTAGCCCACATGGTGCAGAAAAGTAGGACGTAAAACTCCATTTTATTTCTTAGGTTTTTCCCAAAAATTTTTCAGAGAATATAGCCTGACCGAATAGAACGACTTTATAATTGTTCAAAACTTTTTTATAAGACTTCAAAGCACCTCATTACCCCCCAAAAATTTCAAATTTACCACCTTGTGGGATTAATTACCCCCCCAGGTTGAAAACCCCTGGTCTACACGATATTCGGCAATTCTGCAATTAGTTTCCTATGTATAGTTACTAACAAAACTAATATGGCAAATTACTCCCATCCTGTTAGAAATAGCATAATGAGTAATGTTTTCATTCTTGTGTAGTGATGAGATTTATACCAGTTCACTGGTTCAGTACCCAGAAGTAAAATATCTCAGTGTGTAATCTGGCAACACATCTAGTGTCAGAGTACTGACTGGAATCCTATCTTACTCATCTCCAAACAATAGATAGAAAAACAATCTCACAAGACTATTTAGGTACATTTCTTACTTCACAGTAGGCTACATTGAACTACTTAGTCTTAAAGGGACAGATGGGCCATTTTGGGAGGTTGATTTTAGTCTTGAATATATGTAAATAGTCTTCAGAAGTACTAGAAATGTACGGAAATCACATAATTCCTTTAAAAATATCTGGAACTAGGAATTTCTTTTTCTATTTCTATAGTTGTCTTTTATATATATCGTGGGTGACCGCTTGAAACCTCGTATAACAATATTTTACGCGGAATTACTTTTCGAGAACGCTCATTTTGTTGAAATCTTTTTTATTATTTTTTTTATCAATGCTTTTGCTGTTTTCATCTGGTTAATTGCGAGGACTATATTCAACTTCTTTAAGAAGAGTTCCACAGAGAACCACTTAGCAGTCTGGTCTTGACTGAGAACTGAACGCTAACCACTTCTATCAACTATATTACCAAATATCACAGTTATAAAATTATAAATTAATATATATAGAAACTATTTATAAGACAGTGGACGTTAACCACTTCTATCTACTATATTACCAAATATCACAGTTATAAAGTTATAAATTAATATATATAGAAACTATTTATAAGACAGTGGACGCTAACCACTTCTATCAACTATATTACCAATTATCACAGTTATAAATTAATATATATAGAAACTATTTATAAGACAATAACCACTTCTATCAACTATATTACCAAATATCACAGTTATAAAATTATAAATTAATATATAGAAACTATTTATAAGACAATAACCACTTCTATCAACTATATTATCAAATATCACAGTTATAAAGTTATAAATTAATATATATAGAAACTATTTATTAGACAATGGACGCTAACCACTTCTATCAACTATATTACCAAATATCACAGTTATAAAGTTATAAATTAATATATATAGAAACTATTTATAAGACAATGGATGCTAACCACTTCTATCAACTATATTACCAAATATCACAGTTATAAAGTTATAAAATTAATATATATAGAAACTATTTATAAGACAATAACCACTTCTATCAACTATATTACCAAATATTACAGTTATAAAGTTAAAAATTAATATATATAGAAACTATTTATAAGACAATAACCACTTCTATCAACTATATTATCAAATATCACAGTTATAAAGTTATAAATTAATATATATAGAAACTATTTATTAGACAATGGATGCTAACCACTTATATCAACTATATTATCAAATATCACAGTTATAAAGTTATAGATTAATATATATAGAAACTATTTATAAGACAATAACCACTTCTATCACTTCTATCAACTATATTACCAAATATCACAGTTATAAAGTTATAGATTAATATATATAGCAACTATTTATAAGACAATAACCACTTCTATCATATATATTACCAAATATCACAGTTATAAAGTTAAGAATTAATATGTAGAAACTATGAACATAAAATGGTAATTTTTATCGCATTACCCCGTATTGAGCTATGTATCATATCATGACCCTTGTATTGTGATATGTGTCCTATCGTGACATGATTGACGATACCCAGCACTACTTTAAAGTAGCCTTGTGTAAAAGAGGCTCTACATTTTGTGCTTCATTTTTGGGGGCTAACTTAATCTTAGCTGCTCTCCATCCGCAATCCTAGCATCTCTCTTCAACATTTAGTGTAGAGTGTTATCATACAGTTGTATATCAATAGACAGTGTTAAAGATGTTATTAATTAGTAAAGTAACTGGTTATTAGCCTAGATCTATATATCTGATGTAATGTTGTAGGTACCTAGCAGACGCCAACTAGTTAGGCCAAGCAAATTAATTCTGCCAAGAAGGTTATTTCATTATTCTCCAAGTTGGATGAGACGATCAGGAGCAGATCTGGAAATGACTGAGCCATAGGCCAAAAATTAGAGGTGGCTCTCCAAGTCAAGACTCTTAAGCCCCTAGAGGCTGGGAGACTTGGGTGCTGCCAGAGGCCCCAAGAAGCCTACAGATGTCAGATGGCCTGAGATGAAATTTTAGCATTTCGAGGGCTTAATTTCCACTTCAAAGTAAGGCCTATCACAGATGTAAGGTCCAAAGGCCCTTCCCCAGGCCCTGTGTATTACAGGTTGTGCACGTTAAAGATCCCTTGACAGTTGGAAATTGAAAAAAGAGAAGTGACATCAGGTGTTTTGAAAAGCTTAACCATGGTCTGCTTCACACGCATCACCCACCACTATAATGATCAAAATCATGAGATACAACCAGATCAATTCATGTAAATATATTCAAACAAATATGCCAAAATGCCAGAAGCAGATTTATTGTAATTATCAAATGTGTTTGTAAAATGGAAGTGGACAGCAGACCTCAAGGAAATAGAGGCTCCTATGAAATAGCAGAAACCCTCTGGTGTCCAGGTGGATTAACCCGCCGGGGCCACTCCAGGGGCCCTTTAGCTTCGCTGCCCTGGCTTCCAAGAGATACTGAAATGAATGCAGTGGTCACTTACATCTCAAGATATGTTTCAAGATATGGAATTATTTTTTCAGAGAAACTATCTAGTAGAATGGACACATGAATTAGTCATAATGACTGTAATAGTAACAATATTTATTTATATGTTTATACCAGTATATTTCTTGAGAGTTTTTATTCCTACACCTGTTTATCACCTGTAGTATACTTCTATTACTTAGAAATAGAGAGCTGATCAAAGGGAGGCAACCTGTTGTTTTGGAAATAGATTGACTTTAGGTTTGGAAGAAATATTGTTGTGGTTTTTTTTTTCTATCCATGAGTAGGATACAATGTTATGTTACAAATTATATTTACTGCTACATTTAAAGGGGTTTTAAAGAGAATTAATTATTTTTTATGTGTATCGGGGACGCTGATAGCATCAATTTGCAACAATCCAATTTTCAATCAAACGTCTGTGGTTCCTGCAATTCTACTAGAACTAGGTTTCACATTGCGAAATTTGTTTTATCACATAAGGCCCTTTGTGAAAGTGAAGTCATTAAACAATTAGTTTCAGTAGAATTGCACTAATCACAGACAGCTGATTGAAAATTGGATTAGTGCAAATTGATGCTATCAGTGTCCCTGATACACATAAATAAGACACCAGCTAAAAAAGTTTAAGATCCTCCACCTTATAAATTGTTTCATTCGTTAGGACTCTATATCATGATGGTGCGTGTGGCACAGGAACAGTCTTGGTAGCTGATTTTTGTCACCATCATCTCGTTGCCAACAGAATTTATAATTATTAATATCAAACTAATTTGATATTTGTCAATGATTATATTATCGTCTGACATGGGGATTTTTTTGTGCCTGCAGCTGAACGGCAAAACAAACGACAAGACCCTAGTCAGCGACAAAAATCAGCGATTTTACTGTGCCTGCACCATAATTATTTACGACATGTTGAACTCAATAATATAAAAATAAATGACAAACCTGAAATTCCAATTTCAAATCAGAAACATCTTTAAATTGTTTTCTGGCGTATTGTTGTAAGAGGACATCAAACAGTCTCTCTGGATGGAAAAACACACATAAATTCACACAGGCCGGAAACTTGTCCAGATATCTTTTCAAAGTTTGTAGCTTCTCTTTCAATTCTTGTAGAGTTTGTTTTATTGTCAATGACTTACTTCTCAGTTTCCATAACAATGGGACTTCATCAGTCAGCAGAGATTTTTTCACTTCTGCTAAATCTGAGGTCAAGGTGATGTCACCTTTGACCTCTTTTGAGATCAAAGTCAAATCTGAGGTTATTTTTTCAATGAGTTTCTTGTATCCCTCCACTTCATAATGGAAATAAATGTCCAATGGGTAGATTTCATCTTTACTGGTTAGAGGAAGTTTTGGCAGATCTTGCAGCATTTCTAATAGCTGTGAAATCAAGATGGCTGACTGGTTGGTGGTTTGGGAGTTCCTGGATATGAGAAACAGTTCTGGAGCTCCAATGACTTGAATCATATCCGAATTCATTATCCTGAAATACAAAAGATAAGTTTAATTAAAGGAACAGAATCACCATTAATTTGACCAATCATACTTTAGTCTAAGAAACGTGAATATTTTTTAGCTAAGCCAATATGTAATAGTGTTTACAACTCACCGTCGAAATTTGAGCTTTCAAATCTATGTGATCTGAATTATATGCATTTGAAAGATGAAATGAAAAAAGGTTTTTTTTTAGACCTTGTCAAAAAGAAAAGACGTGTAAAGCTTATAGAAATAACAAGAGAAATTCTTAGTTTGAGATATTTTTGCAGAAATTATGCCATTTTGGAACGTTTCCAAACGTTTTAAAACTTATCTGAACTTTAGCATACCTGCTTTTCCTTGCAACCAAACTCTTTTCAGCAGACAATGGTAAACAGAAAGTACGGGCTGAGGTATCCTCTATACTGTCTAATGCTTTGTTCAGATTGGACTTCTCTGATGATTCGGAAGTTATCAGTTTCTTCAAAAGATTGGCAACACTGTTAGTATTTTCATCAAGCTAAAAAAACAAAAATATCTTAAACTAGTTGGTGCATATAATTTGATGTTTTTATGTCAAATGGATAAAGTGCTTTGGATATTTGAGATAGATACCATTTTTTACCTTTAAACAGGAAGCGGCAGTGGCTCAGTGACGCTTGCACCGCAAGGTCGAGATGATACCTTTGGATTTTTCAAGCGAGTTTCCTCTTGTCAATGATTACATAAAAATAAAACGAGTCGACTGATAATAAAGGAAAAAATAAATCACACGATAACGTGCAAACAGTAGGTAAAAGCTCCATACAATTAGAGTAAATGTAGCTACGTTTCAGGACTTATCCCTTTATCAAGCGAAAAAAACAAAAAATGCATGAAAGGTGCTATCTTTACGGAGAACATCAGTTTAGGTAGCTCAGTGAGCTAGACATTTACTCGCTAATCTGATGGTCCAGGATACACAGAATTCCTACCTCAACATTTTCTACTTCTTGTAACGAAACTTTCAACAACTCTTGGCCGATGGATTCCACGATTTTCGCATCCTGTTCATCTAGACAGTGATTTGAATAAATGTGACTGATCAGTTCAGCTGATTTGATTGGATCAGATCCAGAGACAAACAGATACTTAAATAAGCTAGAAGCAGACGCCAAATCAGTCAGTTCCCAATGATGTCTGTTGGCGAAGGCTTCGTTGCCATAGTAACTCTGATGTTGAAGGAGTGCATGATATAAGGCTAAAGACATGATTTTTCTAAATCTCTCATCAGTCTGAAAAAAGAAACAAGGTGCATCTGTAGAGGGCAGTGGTGGAGCCAAATGGGGGGGCGGAGGGGGCAGCCCCCCCCCCTCTAAGTTAAATAAGACTTATATGAATATGTATGACTAAATATGAGAAGAATGAACAACTATACCTGAGCAGCAGAGATAGCACGGGAACTATTGAGTAAGAAAGCAGCAGATCGGAATGACTTCTGTAAGGTAGATTTGAAGTTAATGGTGGTCTCACATGTTACTCTCAGACCATGCTGTACTAGTATACCTGAAACAAATTACAGATACATCATCACACCAGGATATGTTTATTTCCCTACATCAGTGGTGGTACAAGCCTCCCATGACTGGGGGTACAATTAGGGGGCAGATTCAATGGAGGGGACAACTGTCAAGGCTGAATTTAAAATGCGGCAACTCTGTGGATGGTCACACTCCAACATAAAAATGTAGCTTATTGTTTTTAAAGGGATTGTAAAGAGGTTTTCTAATTTATTATGTGTATTAGGGACTACTGCATGGTGCAAATTGATGTGGCCCCGATACACTTAAACATTTTTAAAAACCTCTTTACAATCCCTTTAAGACAGATTTACACCAAGAAATCTCCTCAATTAAATTGCAATGACTATGTGTTTTCCACAATTAGGTAGCACCCTTACCTGGTATAACCCGTCTGCCATCAATTCTAGAGGTAATCCATAATCTGAACATAGGATGTATTTTACTATTTTTAGAATGACTGGAAGGTTGAGACTGTGTGATCAGACTTCGTCCCTCCTCACTGTTGATGCTCTTCTTCTGGCATTCTGGAGATTGCAGGAATCTACTGTACACCAATTCCTGAAAAGGTAACCATTTTTATCAGATCTCGTTCATGTAAAAATAAACTATTATTAGTCAAATCAGATGTCTTAAATAAACAATTTTCTGTTTAACCTAACTTGCCATTCACATATCCAATGGTAGAACTATCCAGAAAATTGAGTCTAGAGAGTTCAGTATTCTGGCGAAAGATTCTGACAATCTTTTGGGCCAAATCACTCAAATTTCATAACCTAAGGCTTTCAATATAATCTGATAATCAAGAAAATCAGTCTAATTAAAATGAGATCAAACTTTCGTCGGGTCTAACAACAGCCCTCTTGAATATTCGTCAAATTAGCCTTCTGAACTAACTCAATGACGTCTGCTTTAACCCATCAAATTTCCACCTTCATGAGCCTTGGCATTTATTGACACAGTGTTGATCAGGTTAGGTCAAAATGTTATTTTGAAGAACTTTCAAGAAGGCTGTTGTTAAACCCTAATTTAAGGTATATTAAAACATAAAAGCTTATAAAAAAAGTTTGTCTAATTTCAATTAGAAAAGAAAAATATCCAATCAAAACTCACAAGTAATTCCAATATTGGCCTACCTTCAAAATCACCAGAAACTCTTCATCAATGTTTTCAGCAAGATGGTAGTTCTGTAGAACCAACCAATAACCATTCTGTATACAGTCATTCAGAGCATTTAATACTTCGTTTAACTCAGATTCTACTCCGAAATTAATAATACGAACTTTACCTTCCATACCTATAGTCTTAGCTAAACGTTTGACTTCATGAATAGGATTAATATACGGATGACCTAAAAAAAAATTGAGAACAGACTTTGAACATTTCTCTCATAGCTGTAGGTAAAATGATTGAATTAATCGATTATCAACATTAAGAATTTACAATTTTGATGATGGATTGTCAAATTTCATAATCGATTATAGGTCAAAGTTACATATTCTCCACTGTACCCGTTAACAAGTAGTTATCTCTTCCACATAGTTTCCCTTCAGCATAGAACACACCCACAATAAACTATAATAATATACTTCTATTACGCAAAAATAACCCATGAAATTAAGAGTTTTGGCATATTTTTAATTTAGTATTTAGAAGGTTTCTAAATTAAATTATTTTGATTATTGATTGATTATTGATCGGTAGTCTGCCAACGATAATCAATCTCAATTTGGTAATCAATACCCAGTCCTATGTAGGATGCAGTTTGATAAGTCATTAAAGATGGGTTTCGTTATTTTTTAGTGTCAAAGTAAGCAAACTATTTGATTAATTGGTGTTTCTAAGGACTTATCATATATTCTTTATCATATCATTATGTTCTTATTGCATATAATGAAGAGTCTTAACCAATTATAAATGTCAATGTAGCTTGTACATTCTAGATAAACAAAAAAGACTTTTTGACCTTTCTTGATCAGTCACTCATTAGAATTCTGCTGGTAATTCTCTTCTAATTTAGTTAATTATGAATTAATTATGGACATGTGAGACAAACTGGTATTTTTCCAAGTCATTAGAACTATTCATTTAAGTATTAGCATTAATAAAAATAAGGGAACCCATCTTTAACGTAGGCTCGATAATGGCATGCTAGTGGTAGTAAGAAGTGGTTAATGTATTCTGACTCTACCACAGTCAGATGTAATCCGGCGATCTTTAGGTATCCTATTAATAGGGATAAACCACTCCTTGGCAGGAATCTTAAGCTTTTAGAGGTGATCTGTTCTTCCAGTTTGCATTGTTGTTTACATGTACAAAAGGTTTCATGAAACACAAGACAAGTAGTTGTATTATTTCATCTAGAGACTAGTTGGCATGCCATGCAGAGTGCAATGAGAGAAATTTTGCCAAGACAGCACCATTAGCCTACTCTTTCTGATTTTCAACTGTCCAGAGATCTGTAACGTGCACAGCCTCTAGCACACTGGGCCTAGGTTTATTGTCCCATCTGATCGACATGTTGCTTTTTCCATGTCAGCCAGATTGAAAAATCCTAAGGTAGCCAGGATTAAACCCTGGGCCTTCAGGTTAGCGAGCATGCGTCTAACTCACTAAGCCACCGTGGCTCCCTATCCCACAGCAGAGGAAAACGACCTTAAATAAATCGTTAAACATTGTAGAAAAGTTTACCTGTGGTAGCTAGGTTGTGAGGTCGAGAACTAGGGAGTAAGAGTAATGTAGGTGTAAATTGGTTGGTGTAGGAATACACTGTATTGATATTATAATGATCAGCTGGTGAGACCACACTACCTAGTTCATAATTCACTATTACTTGACTTAGTTCGCTCAACTAAAATTATACAAACATAGTAAGTCAAAACTGTCTTTTAAAATATAATAATTCAAATAAGCTTGGATTTTCAAAATTAAAGGGACAGGTGAGCCATTTTGTGGGGTTGATTTGAGTCTTGAATATATGTAAATAGTCTTCACAAGTACTAGGAAATGTAAGAAAATTGTATAATTCCTTTAAAATAGGAATAAGAATATCATTCAATGTTTTTTCTTTATATCACAGAGTATCTTAAAATGATGATTGAGCTAATGAAGTGTGCAATGCCATGCAGTGTGCAATGAGGGAAATTTTGCCAGGACAGCCAGGATTGAACCCTGGACCTCCAGGTAGCGAGCAAGTGTCTAACTCACTGAGCCACAGTGGCTCCCAATGGAGCCAAACCAAAGAAACAATTTGATTTGCACGAAGAAAAATAATCAACGTACCCTTTGTGGTTGAGCCATCTTCCAAATCAGACATTTCTGGAAGGCTGTCAACTCTTGAAGGTTAATTCCTGGTACTGGATTCATCAGAACTATTGGAAGCTGAAACACACATTACCTCTTTTTCACAATATAATCTATTTCCAGTATCGTATTTAGGGGTTGGGAGAATTGGGAAAGGTCTTATTTTGAAGTGAAAATTAAGCCCTCTAAATGCTCAAAATTCATCTCCGGCCCTCTGAAAATTGTCTGCTTCTCGGGGCCCTCTGGCAGTCTCCCAGCTTCAAGGTGCTTTGGCCCTTAAGGTCTTGCCTTCGAGGTCTGCCCCTGTCCATTGAAATATGAACAAAACTTTTTACAGATATTAGCTGTGGTTATTTAGTTCCGGAAAGAACCAATCCACAACAAGTCTGAACTTCACAAGAAAGGCAAGGGTTAAATTTCTATAGAATATGATTGATCATGCAAACAACAATTTTGACAAATTACCTGAAAATATTCCTTCCATTCTGTAGAAAATTCTCTGATGGAATCACACAGACCTTGTAATACTGGATGTAAAGATTCCAAAACATTTAAATCAACCCACACCTATAAGGAAGCAAAACAATTCAAATCAAAACAATTCAAAGCAAGCAAGTTTCATTAACGAGAGGAAATTTGAAAGCATCAAGTTAATGTCACCAAATGTTAGTAATAGAATAATAATTAGAATTTTGTTATAACCGCTTTGCGCTGCAATCCTATCTGGATAGCCACTTTCGCACTGCAATCCTATCTGGATAGCCACTTTCACACTGCAATCCTATCTGGATAGCCACTTTCACACTGCAATCCTATCTGGATAGCCACTTTTGCACTGCAATCCTATCTGGATAGCAGCTTTCGCACTGCAATCCTATCTGGATAGCCGATTTACTGGAAAGAACCATATTACTTTGAAGTACGAAAGGGGTATAAGTTGAAGCCTTATAAATAAAAAATCCTTATCAAGTTCTATAATTTATCAGCTATGCAATTAAAAAAATTTAAACCTCATATTGGATGCATCCAACTCTGACCTCAATTGAAAATCCAAATCCAAAACAATAACTTTCTTTCGTTTGTGGGAAAGGTTTGTAGGTAACTGAGTCTCAGCCTACAGACCACAAAGATATGTCAAATTTGTCAAAAATCGATAGTGAGGCATATTCTGCATGCTTTTTTGTCAGGGCGCCATTTTGTAAGTGTTCGTTTTGTCATCGATAGTTAACATTAATAAAGTTGTAGTTAACATCGTATCACTTTGTATTTTTATCAGTTACGTTCCTGCCAGCCTCATGAGAAAATGGCTTACCTTATTCTCAATCCACTCAGGTTTGTGTTGCAGAAGACCTGATTCATCTACTCCACATTTCTCAAACCCATTGACAAACAGACTCATTTCTTTAGTGGAAGCCTTCTGTATCATTACCATATGTTCCAGGGCCAGTAGCAGACACAATTGATTATAGTGCTCTTCAAACATCATCATTGCTGAATATTTCAAAATGGCCGATGTTGTTGCATCTGATAGTTCTTGAGCTCTAGCTGGTGTTGCCCCTGCAAAATTGAGAGGAAAATGATGATGGCAGACAATTCACCAAAATTGTAAGTCAACAAAAGCCAACTCTTTAAAGGGACAGAGATTGGTCAAAAAAATGGTGAATCTTGTCCCTTAAAGTTAGAATTACAGAAATGACCAACTCACCAACAGCACCTTTGCCTCTATCTCTGCTGGCCACAACTTGAGAGAAAATTTCAACAAATTTGTGGAAAGACATGTAGTAGCAAGGAGACAACACACTTAATTCTTTTAATATATTAAACAACATGGTGGCCTTCATCAACATTGGTACATAGTAGGTGAACTTTCCTTCAAGATGGTTGCCCATATAGCGTGTTTCTTCTAGAATGATCTTGTTTTTCTCAACATTATTTTGACAAGTAATCAAGGATTCTAACATTGTTCTGTCATCCAGTAACGGTACATCCAGATGTAGAGTCTTTTCTCTTATGATTTCCTAGAAAACAGTTAAGGGGATTATTAAAAGGTTTTCTAAATTTTGTTTGTGTATCGGAGACACTGATAGCATCAATTTGCACCGTTCCATTATTCAATCAATCACCTGCGGTCCCTGCAATTCCACTTCAACTTAGTGTTTGATGACATCACTAATCACAAGAATGCCTTACGAAATACAAGCATATTTTGTGATTAATGACATCATAAAACACTTAGTTTTAGTGGAATTGCAGGAACCACCGACGTCTGATTGAAAATAAGAATGGTTCAAATTAATGAGACAATAAACTGAGGCGAATGTGTGCTACAGGCTGGACACGTTAAAGATCCCTCGACAGTTGGAATCAAAAAAGAGAAGGCTAATACTGTCCTGGTAAAATTTCACTCATTGCACCCTGCATGGCGTTGCCTGTCTTCATTAGCCCACATGGTGCAGAAAAGTAGGACATAAGACTCCATTCAAGCTAAAATTACTAACTTACATGTTCTTTGGCTAACATTTGTCGATGTAAAATAATGTCATTTTCATTTGATCTTTTCTGTCCTTCAAATTCCTTTCGTTCCACTTTCATTGTTTCAAACAGTAGTCTGTTGATAATAGCTTCATCTGAGATAGACATGTTGATAACACACAGCCTATGCAGTGGGAAATGATGCAAACCATCACCTAAAAACAAGATTGCAATTAAAATCTGGTATAATAAAGGGTATGAATCTCCTAGGACACTATTACAGATTGGCTACGCTAAAACATTCCCGTTTCTGAGAGTAAAGTATGATTGGTCAAAAGAAATGGCGCATCTGTCTCTTTAAGAACCTAAGCTATTAAATGGAGTTAAAGCATGATAATTCAAAACAGGATTTTGGAACCATGCCCGTTTCTAGTGGGGCCCCCCTTTGAAAAATTAAGATCATTGGAATGACTCACTGAGTCACATAATTGAACTCACCTTTTAAAAAGTTTGACCCTCCCTGAGATCCTGGGCTAGCTACAGGTCTTGTTTGAAACTATTGATCAACTAGTTGTTGCTAACCGCCAAATCTCAAAATAGAGGACTCACCTTTCAAAAAAACTGGTAAAGTGGTGCTGAGATAAAGACAGAAGTCTGGGTGATATCTGAATTCAACACCAGCTACATGTACTACTCTATTACCATCTTTATCAACATAAAACTGTTTTAATAATAACCCACGGAACAGAGGATCTAGCGGCTTCCTCTCAAGATGAGTCACTAACACTGTTACACCTATTAATTCATAAATACGTAATATAGTGATAGCTGTTTGCTGAAAAAATGAATACTGAAAATTCTCATGCTTATATGAATAGCAATCCAGAAGTCCAGCAAGTCCAACAGATTTAAGATGGCCTGAGATGAATTTTGAGCATTTAGAAGGCATAATTTTCACTTCAAAACAGACCTTTCACAGGCATGAAGAGAGGATCATGGCTCAATTGTATTCCCCCTAAATACACTACTTGCGGACTATGTCTTGCCCTAAAAGCAACACCGACAGCTTTTATTGTATTTGAGCTCACATTAAGAAACCAGTGTTCGTGGCATCAAAAATACTAACCATGTACTATAGCATTAATCAGCCGACTATTTATCTGAGGATCATCTGCCTCAATAATCCATAGATTATGTTCAGGATGGTCTATAGAACTATCAGCTCGTAAATTATAATTCTTCCAACTATTGGTAACAGATGTTACTGGTCTCAACTCATCACTGTTTGTTGTTGATTGACGAGACCCCATACCACGACTGAAATTATGTAATGAGGTCAAGGTCAATTAAATCAGGTCACAGTTAATAAAAGAGGTAAAGGTCACTTAAACTAGTCCAATCTAAGCACATAAGGTTGAATTCAGTCTAAAATAAATGAAATTCAGAGAGACCAGTCACAGCATGTCAAGATCAGATGTAAATGTCATGGGTTAGATGTAAATGTCAAGGTCATATGAAAATGTCAAGGTCAGTTTAAAAAAAAAATCAAGGTCAGATAGAAATGTTAAGATCAGATGGAAATGTAAAGGTCAGTTTAAAAATATCAAGGTCAGATAAATGGTTAAGGTCAGATGGAAATATCAAGGCTGTTTAAAAATATCAAGGTCTGTCTAAAAATGTCAAGGTCAGAGGGAAATGTAAAGGTCAATTAAAATATATGAAATGTCAGGGTCAGATGGAAATGTCAAGGTAAGTTTAAAAATATTAAGGTCAATAAAGTCAGGTGAAGTCATTTAGAATGTTAAGTGCACAGTTTAACAACCTACCTTGTTTCTGTAATGACAGTATAGTTGTCAGGAATGGAGAATTCCGTCACATCTGAGAAAGTTAACATGGTGCCACGACTAGGGGGATGTTCCTGATATACTGTATCACCACTTTCTATAGAATCAGGATTTGATGGTAGTGGCATTCCTGCAAGAAATATGTATAGTATATCATGTGATCTCTCCCAATTTCCAATCAGGTGAGAGGAAAAACAAAGGTCCAATGTGTTTCAATCTGTGTTTGTTAAAGGACCAGGGAGCCATTTTTTTTTAACTCATTGTACCTTAGTCTCAGAAAAAGGAATTTTTTAGCTAAGCCAATTAGTTATAGTGTTCACAGCTCACTGTCGAAGTTTCAATCTTCAAATCCATGTCTATCCAGAATTATCCACATTCGAAAGTTTAAAAGACTTTTCTTGAGGTCTACACTGCCATATATAGAAAAGACATATGAGCTTATAGAAATAGAAATTCCTAGTTTCAGATATTTTTGAAAACATTATGGAATTTTCATACATTACTAGTACTTCTGAAGACAATATATTTCTCAAGACTCAAATAAACTCCCCTGAAATGGTGCACCTGTCCCTTTAAAGATATCTTAACAGTTGAAAATTATGCAACTTGGCATTGCCATCTTCATACGCCTTTGTTGGCCCAGAAAGTAAACAAAACTGGATAACCTACCAGCAACATATTCATTTGGATCATCCAGTACATCTCTTTCAGTAAAAATATTAGAACTCTTCTGTACAGCTTTAACCCACATTTCAGCCTGGTTGTCGGGGTCTATCAACAGTGGCCAACAGTGTTTACGATTAAAGCAACTCACACGCATCAGAAGTGCATTTTGTACCGAATGAAGATCAGTGGGAAGGTTGTTCATTCTCCAATCACTCAATTCATCAAAATCGCTGAGAATACTTTGTAAGGTGTAGCCAGGTCTGACTGACAAGGGAGATAAATCTGATTTGTCATCTTCTTCATCTATTTCAATATTTGGTATGACACTCTCCATCGTGTCTTGACGCTTCAATTCTGATTTGTAATATTTTCGACTGTCGTAAACGGCTGATATGTATCTGAAAGTCTTCACTTGAGGACTGGATTTTTCTGGTGATTTTTTTCCATTTTCTGGAACTTTCAACAAGTTAACTTTGGACATGGTTGAATAAAAACTGTGATCTACCAAAGATTGGGTATCAAAGAGACCTTGACGACATCGATCCAGCCAATCAGCTAGCAGTTCTGAACGGAATTTATCCTCTAAAGGACCGTGGTAGCAGACACAAGCTGCAGTGATTAAGGCATCTCCAGGTGCAGCACGAATATGACGTCTGGCTTTCTTTAACTCTGACCTCCATAGGAAATGTTGCATTGACATATTGCCCATCAGATTACTAGCTCTAGCTATCTTCCTTTCCACACCCTGTAATCGAAACATTCAGTTAAAGGGATTGTAAAGAGGTTTTGTAAATTTTATATGTGTATTGGGGACACTGATCCTGAGGTGTACGTCAGCATACTTTTAACATTATAATTAGTGATGTCATCAAACAATTAGTTTTAGTAGAATTACAGGAACAACAGATGTCTGACTAAAAATTGGAATAGTGCAAACTATCAGTGTCCCCAGTACACATAGAAAATTAAGGAAACCAATGGGACTGAGGTACTGTCAGCAGAAATGGTCATTCAACATGAATTGTGGAATGGTTCAATGAAATGAAATGAATGCAGTTTTACGCCCTACTTCTCCAGTACCTAATTGGGCTAATGAAGAGTGGTAACACCATGCAGTGATCAATGAAGGAAAATTTTGCCAGGACAGCGGTGGTAGCCTTCTCTTTTCCAATTTCAAACTGTTGAAGGATCTTTAACATGCAACACTGCTCCAGCTAGCAAATGACCTCAAACTTTCATTGTTCTAGCAAATGATTCCAATTTTCATTGCTCTTGCAAATGACCCTCAATTTTCAGTGCTCTAGCTAGCAAATGACCTCAATTTTCACTGCTTTAGCAAATGACTTCAAACTTTCACTGCTCTAGAAAATGACCTCAATTTTCACTGCTTTTGCAAATGAACTCAATTTTCACTGCTCTAGCTAACAAATGACCGCAATTTTCACTGCTCTAGCTAGCAAATGATCACAGACTTTCACTACTCTTGCTAGCAAATGACCTCAATTTTCATTGCTCTAGAAAATGACCTCAAACTTTCACTGCTTTAGCAAATGACCTCAATTTTCAATGTCTTAGCCTTCTAAGCTACAGTTGTATTAATGTCTGTTATTTGAATAGGTCATGTAAATATGTAAAAAAAATTGGTTGGAAAATGGCTGTCTGACCTGTATCTTCTTTTCTATGGCTTTCGCTTCTTTCATTGCTTCTTTATGAGCTGTTATTTCACGTTCTAATGAAGATTTCAGTTTATTAGCTGTTATTCTTAACTGACCTAATTTACCTTGAGCCTACAAATAAATATCATACATTCTGTTGCCATTGGGATACATGTTTTTGGATATATAATCACCATAGGGAGGCATTCGATTGGAGAGTTCTGAACAGTTTCTGTCTGTTCTGATTCTGCCCAAAAACGAACGTTACGAATGCAGATATGTGACTTTCAAAATTTTCAATTTTTTTCTTCTTTCTCCTGCAATTTGAATTCTGTCTGAATCTACTATTTTTTTGGGGCACACCTGGAACGCGTTCTGAACTCTGCTCCAACTCGTTTTATTAAACATGCAAAACTCACCAATCAAGCGACCCCTACATTAGCACAGCTGGATTGAACATTTTTGGTCAGCTGGTTTGCAATGTACAACTTTAAGCATAAAACCAATTAATTTCTCTCAGTGCACAGGAGTATGAAGTTGACTCTGTGAATATTTGGTAGACTTGTTGAACAGAAGCAAGGAATCGGTGTGAAGAACAGTCTAATTAAAATTTGGCCAAACTTTCGTTCCATTTTTTTTTTTATAAGCTTTTATTTTTAATATAGCCACTTCAGTTAGGGTCTCATGACAGCCCTCTTTAACGTTTGTCAAATTAACCTTTTGACTTAACCTGATAAACACCACGTCACAAAATTTTAGCACCGGAGAGGGTAGAAACTTGATTGTTTAAGGCAGATGTCATTGAGTTAGGTCAAGAGGTTAATTTGAAGAACGTTCTAGAGGGCTGTCGTTAGACCCTAACTGATGTGACTGTATTAAAAATAAACGCTAATGAAAAAACTGAACTAAAGTTTGGTCTAATTTTAATTAGACTGCATGAGGAATTTTGAAAACTAAAATCCATGCATTTCTTACCTTATTGAATTCTGTTTGAGCCAGTGACAAATTTTTTAAATGTGGCCTCATCTGTCTATGAATTTCAATGTATTTATAAATAGCATGAACCCATAGACATAATGAGGCGATGGCACTGCTATGCTTCTTCAAAATATCAGGATTAAAGATAGGGTCGAAGATGTACTTCTGCAATGCTTTATAGATATGTGGTGGTATATTGTCTTTATTGTAAAAGATCATCTCTTGAATAAAATTCTCTTTCAGAAGTAACAACTTTCCCTCAGACCACCTGAAAAAAAAAAAATCAAAATGAAGCTTTATAGCCAATGCAATTTTTTTGAGTTATAAGTTAAGGGGACAGGTTTGCCATCCGTTTGATCAATCAAACATTAGTCTCAGAACCGGGAATTTTTTAGCTAAGCTAATCAGTAATCGTTTTCTAAGCTAAGTGTCGAAATTTGAGCCTTCAAATCCATGTGTGTCCAGAATTATCTATTTTCATATATATAGAAATAGAGAAATTTCTAGTATGAGATATTTTTGAAGGAATTTTGTGATATTCAAACATTTCTAGTACTTCTGAAGACTATTTACAGATATTTAAGATCCAAATCAACCTGGAAAATGGCGAATATGCGGAGAAGTAAATAGACAGGAAAATTTTGAATGTGACATATTTTGCTTCCATACCGTAGAACGGATGAAGAATTGGAACAGACGGAACTTGTTCAGAACTCTTCAATCGAGCGCAACAGTATTTTGCTCCATCATATATGTCATTGAAGACAAACAGAAATAGATGGGGAAATTTTGAATGTGACCTATCTACTTTCAAACAATTCGATTGAGGGCACAAATGGAACAGACAGTACCAGTTCAGAACTCTGCAATCGAGCGCAACCCCAGATTACTTACTCTTCAGGTCTGTTGAACAAAAGACAGATGGCTTTGATAACAAATTTGACCCCCTCTGGTGGATCATTAAAGGTCTTGACCTCATCTATATCAGCCTTGTTAATAGACTTTAATACTTCTTGAGCTGCTTCGTAACTAGGGTTCACCTGAATTTTAAATAAAAATGATTAGACTTCCTATCACTTTGTCACATGCTATTCATGATCTGATTAAATTTTTATACAACATTTGTTCTAGGTCATTAAGAATATTCAACTAATCCAATGCTCTGGTAAATACCATTAGATTAGACTTCCTTTCAGTTTGTCACATGTCATTCATGATCTTATTAAATTTTTTTAGAACAATTGCTCTAGGTCATTAGAATATTTTACCAATCCAATGCTCTGGTAAATACCTGGTGAGGGGGGAGGGCAAGTAATATATTCGGAGGGGCAAATTGGTGTTAAGTTGCAGTGAAGATATATGAATTACCCATAAGACTAAGTAATTAATTGAAACATGCTTAGAAGCGTCTTTTCTTTCAATAATTTCTTAATAGTATAATGAATGTATTGTCTTAAGGCTGGCGCACATATACCAATTTTTTTAATGCCGACAAAGCGGCCATTGTGAAATGGTCCATGACAGCCCTTCAACAAAATCAGGAGTGATCGGGAGATATCTGGCATGTTTGATCAAATGATGTCCTTTTCGGCAAGTGTGTGGGTGTTCGCGATAAATTGTCGTGACCTAGTTAAAGCTCAACCAATAGAATTCCATGTACATATCACGTGCTCACTTCTGGATGACATATTGTTTATGGTAGATCTACAGAAAACCGAGCGAGTCATTCCAGTGGCAATAATAATAATAAATCAGTAAGTGTGCGCTGACTGTATGTACTGATATTTTGACACCGTTGTTATTCATCTGGTATTGAAACATACATACCTTGTCAAATTCTAACTGAGTAGTTCGACGGAGCTGCTCTAGAGGGGACTGTATCTCAGCTATCTTATCTTCTTGTGTTTTACATTTCTCTAATGCCTGCAATCAAAATCAATCAACATTACCTACCTTCAATCAAAATCAATCAATAATAACTGCCTACAATCAAAATCAATCAACATAAACAATCTACAATCAAAATCAATCAAAATTAACCGTCTACAATCAAAATCAATCAACTTTAACCACCTACGATCAAAATCAATCAAGATTAACTGCTTAAATCAAAATTAATCAACATTAACCACCAACAATCAAAATCAATCAACATTCAATATACTTGCCCAATTCAGTTCAATATATGGGCCCAATTCAGTTCATTATATTTGCCCAATTCAGTTCATTATATTTGCCCAATTCAGTTCAATATATTTGCCCAATTAAGTTCAATATATTTGCCCAATTAAGTTCAATATATTTGCCCAATTCAGTTCATTATATTTGCCAAATTCAGTTCAATATATTTGCCCAATTCAGTTCATTATATTTGCCCAATTCAGTTTAGAACATTTGCCCAATTTATTTAAGAATATAAACCCAATTCAGTTCATTATATTTGCCCAATTTATTTAAGAATATAAACCCAATTCAGTTCATTATATTTGCCCAATTTATTTAAGAATATAAACCCAATTAAGTTCATTATATTTGCCCAATTCAGTTCATTATATTTGCCCAATTCAGTTCAGTATATTTGCCCAATTCAGTTCAATATATTTGCCCAATTCAGTTTAGAAAATTTGCCCAATTTGTTTAAGAATATAAACCCAATTAAGTTCAATATATTTGCCCAATTAAGTTCAATATATTTGCCCAATTCAGTTCAGAACATTTGCCCAATTTATTTAAGAATATAAACCCAATTAAGTTCAATATATTTGCCCAATTAAGTTCAATATATTTGCCCAATTCAGTTCATTATATTTGCCCAATTCAGTTTAGAACATATTTGCCCAATTCAGTTTAATATATTTGCCCAATTCAGTTCAATATATTTGCCCAATTCAGTTCAATATATTTGCCCAATTCAGTTCATTATATTTGCCCAATTCAGTTCATTATATTTGCCCAATTAAGTTCAATATATTTGCCCAATTCCGTTCAATATATTTGCCCAATTCAGTTTAGAACATTTGCCCAATTTATTTCAGAATATAAACCCAATTAAGTTCATTATATTTGCCCAATTCAGTTCAATATATTTGCCCAATTCAGTTCAATATATTTGCCCAATTCAGTTTAGAACATTTGCCCAATTTATTTCAGAATATAAACCCAATTCAATTCAGAAAATTCTCCAAATTTAATTTAGAAAATTCATCAAATTGTGTTCAGAATATTCACTCCGGTCAGATCAGTTCCATCTCCTACCTGTATGTACTGTTGTTTCTGGGATTCCACTTTTTCTACCAAATCTTGAATGGTATCCATGGAACTTTTATGTTTTGGTGCCAAACAAGACACTTCTTTCTTGTAGGTAGCTATACTTCCAAAGGCTTCATCTATCTTACAGAGAGCTGCTTCATATTTCTTAGCTTTGATCTATATATCAAAAAACTCCAATTTAAACCATTTTTCATAAAAGCAGTCTAATTGAAATAAGACCAAACTTTCATTTCGTTTTTTATTTGCTTTTATTTTTAATACAGCCACTTAAGTTCAGGTCTAAAGACTGGCCTTTTTTAAAACTGGCCTTTTAAAACTGTCAAAATAACCTTTTTACCTACCGGTAACCCTCCTTTATCCAATTAAATTTCTGCCCTGTTCAGTGCTGGCTGTTTGATTGGTTAAAGCAGATGTCATCAGATTAGGTCTAAAGGTTATTTTGACAAATGATTAAAAAGCCAGTCTTAAGACCCTAACTGAAGTGGCTAAAATAAAAATAAAAGATAACGAAAAAATTGAACGATGGTTTGGACTTATTTTAATTTGACAAGAATTACAAGAGTTGAGATAAGGTGGTAGATTTTGGTAGGATTCCAAAGGGATTGTAAAGAGGTTTCCACTAAAACTATATACTATAAGATAAAGTTTGTAATAGCCTGATCTTGCGTCAGACTTAAAGGGATTTAAAAGAGGTTTTATTAAAAATATTTTTATGTGTATTAGGGACACTGATACCATCAATTTGCATTATTCCATTTTTCAATCAGACGTCTGTGGTTCCACTAAAACTAAGCCTAAGCGTTTGATGACGTCACTAATGATGTTTTATGTAGAAAGATCCCAGGGAAGATTGCCTTGTGCAACTGGGCTTCTAATACAGTTATACAGTTTGCAAAACCGTAAGTGCCACAGTGCAACATATGCAAAAACTCGTAAATTGGTTCCAGAAGGCGCATTTTTGCATCGATTTTCTTCGGGTTTTCATTTTTAAAATCTGGCTGTAATTTCTGATCAGATAGCACTTGAAAAATTACGAAATTCGAAAATTTGTAAAGTAAATGATATGATACAGTCAGAGTTTTGAAGTCACTTCCGGTTTTGAAGGTGGAATCAATTGAAAGTACAAACTACTTCCGGTCGAATAACTTCCGGTGTAAATGAAATAGGTCAACGGAATTTATGCAGGTCGTAAGTAAATGCTAATACAAAAAAACGAAGAATATAAAATCCAGACCGGAAGTGATACCTTGGCCGCCATCTTGATTTTCTAATTTTCTTAAAATCGAAATAAGTCCTTAGGGATAAACTAAATCTGCATAAATTTGGTGTCGATGTAATCTGCTGTCTAATGTTCACAAAACGTTGAGAGCCGATTTTTGAATTTTGCTTTTGCATTTTCGCAACTTCCGGTTGAATATTTTCAAAGTTTGAAAGCTTATTTCTTGTGACCTTGACCTTTGATGACCTTGACCTTCATAAGGTCAATGGTCATTGACCTTGGCTATCATTTGATACTTTGACCTCCGACATGTACTTCCGGTTTTATAGCTATCCGTAAAAAGCCAAATTCGCAACTTTGGACTGCTCTAGCATGTGACCTAATTTACCTAGAGGGTTAATTTTTTCGGTTTCCTAATGTGCTTCTCATGCACTTTACATAGATATATAACAATCGTTTTTTTTAAAGCAAAATTGAAATTCGTGATTTTTTCAAATTTGAGGTTTTTTTTACCATATTTGTGTCTTTTATGATCTTGGTGTATGAATATCTTATGATCTATTTTATGTAGAACCTTGATATTTGGAATACAACTAGACACTTTGAATATGAATTCACCTATGACCCAAAAATTGGGGTGGGCGTGGCACATCCGGGTTGAATTACTAATTGTTTACATTTTGGGACTGGGGCATAATAAAGGGACTTCGCACACAATTACCTCATCCTGTTGGCCAGTTTGTGTTAACAGCTCAGTTGCTTCAGCTTTATAGTTCCAAAAAGGAACGGGTTTTAACATTTGGATATTTTCATTTTTCAATTTTGACCTTTGTTGACATTTGGTGACCTATATCTTTTGACCTGAATAATGTAGAAGCTTGAAGTTTGAAACACAACGTAACATTTGGAATATCAATTACCCCATGCAAAAAAAAATTAAGGTGGGCGTGGCACATCCGGGTTATATTACTCATTATTGATATTTTTGGCCAGGAGCATAACTCGCAAAGTATACGTTTGTTCAAAATGGAACTTTACATACAATCATCTCATGTTTTGACCCACTTTGTCTTAGAAGTTCGGTTGTTTCCGCTTTATAGTTCAAAAAAAGGAACAGGTTTTGGAAATTCAAAATTTTCAATTTTTGACCTTGACCTTTGTTGACCTTGACCTTTGTAGGATCAAACATCATTGCCATTGGCTATCTATTTATACTTTTATATTTGCTTTCCTATGTCAACTTCCGGTTTTATAGTCGTGTGCAATTAGAAATTTTGATGAGGTATATCTCTTGATCTTGACCTTTTTAGACCTTCTCCTTTACAAGATCAAAGGTCATTGACCTTGACTATCTGCTGATACTTTCATTTGTGAGGTCTGAAGTCTACTTCCGGTATAAGAATCTTCTAAAAAATGAAAATTTCTCAACTTTAGACTGTTCTTGCACTTGATCTAATTATTGTCAAAGGTTGATTTTTTCAGGGTCTTGTGCAATTTGCTACATTTGCAAAGTCCCACTCTGTGCCATTATTTATTTATTTATTTATTTATTTATTTATTTATTTATTTATTTATTTATTATTTATTATTTATTATTATTATTATTATTATTATTAATCAAAAAGGGCCTTATGTGATAAAGCATATTTTTGCATTAGTGATGTCATCAAACAATTAGTTTTAGTCGAAATGCAAGAATCACAGACATCTGATTGGAAATTGGAATGGTGCAAATTGATGCTATCAGTGGCCCGAATACACATAAATTTTTTTAAAAAACCTCTTTACAATTCTTTTAAACATTTTTTGAAGAAAGTCACGATTTATGCTTACCTTTTCTACTCTAACAGTAAAGGCAGCTACAACTTTAAATATATGTACAAACTCCATAAAGGTCAGGGGAGTATAGAATCTTAGTGGTTCCTTTTCATGACAATATTGTCTCTCAATGGCTGTTTTAGATGACATGTGGATGTAGGCCATAGCCTTGCTTGCCATATCTACCTGTTGTGTCTGCTTGGATATACTCCATGGTATAGTTATCTGAAACGTAAGATATCATTCAATTTCCAAGTCCAAATTTAAGGCAAAACCAAAACATGAAAAGATGCACAAGTGATACAATATTCAAATTTCAAAAATGAAATGAATGTTGTTTTACGTCCTACTTTTCTGCAATGAGGCAAATTTGGTCATGACAGAGGCATCAGCCTCCTTTTTTTGATTTCTTACTGTCGAGGGATATTTAATGTGCACAGGGCCTCGGTTTATTGTCCCATCCAAACAACAACTAGATGCTTTTTCCATGTCAGCCCCTCTTACCTACATCACTGACAGGGGGAAACCAGGTTGAAAATTGAAAATTTAAGACAAAAACCTAAATTTGATGCAGAAGGGATACAATATTCGAATTTCAGAGATGAGTTAATTCTTTGGCTATGAAATCTTGGGCTGAAAAGACTTTTTTTTTTACCCGAAAAAGCTCAGTTTGATAAATATCCTATCTGAATACTTTTTAGATTGCAACTTAAAGGGACGTGCATGCCATTTTTGGGGGGTTGATTTGAGTCTTGATTATATATGTAAATAATCTTCAGAAGTACTAGAAAATATCTGAAACTAGGAATTTCTTTTCCTATTTCTATAGTTGTCTTTTCTATGAAAGTGTTTAAAGAAAAGACGATTTGTCATTTTAACATTCAAACAAGGATAATTTGATAATTCTGAACATTTAAAGACTCAAATTTCGACGGTGAGATGTGAACACTATTACTGAATAGATTAGCAAAAAAATTCCTGTTTCTGAGACAAAGGTACAAAATGGCACACCTGTCTCTTTAAGTAGGTATCTATTATTCGTTTATAAAAATAAACAAACGTCATTGGTAAATTTACTATCCTACTTGTTTGAGCACTACATTTTTAAATTATTACCAATCAGTAGGCAATAAGGCAAAAAAAAAAGCCAGTTTTCTAAATTTGACACTATGGTGGCACTCCATTGGAGAGCTCTGAACAGGTTCCGTCTGTTCCAATTCTGGCCTCAATCAAACAGTACAGAAGCAAAATAAGTCACATTTAAAATAATCCCATCTATTTCTTTCTCCGCCATTTTGTATTCTGCCCCTACTTTTTTTCGGAACAAGTGGAACGCGTTTTTAACTCTGTTCCAACTTTAATTGAGTGTCTTGTTGATTCCATGAATCCAGATAATCCAGAAATCACCAATCACTACTTTACCTTAGAATTAGGATCTTCCAGCCATCCTTTAGCAATGGAGGCGTATGCCTGAAAACTCCATGGTTTATAAAGATCTATACTGAAACAGTATTTTATTAATTCTGGATACTGGTTGATCTTGTCTTGTAAAGATTTAAAATCAGATGAGTAACTATTTCCTGAAAATGGAAAGGAGAAAAATTTACAAATTTTTTTTTTTTTAGCTCAGTTGGTGAGCGTTGGATTTTTTATGATTGGTTGGTTGATGACAATTTACGTTCGCTTCCAGCAGATGCTGATATCACAAACTAGGTAGTTGTTGGTAGATGACAAGTTAATGTATGCTTCCAGCGGATGCTGATATCACAAACTAGGTAGTTGTTGGTAGATGACAAGTTAATGTATGCTTCCAGCGGATGCTGATATCACAAACTAGGTAGTTGTTGGTAGATGACAAGTTAATGTATGCTTCCAGCGGATGCTGATATCACAAACTAGGTAGTTGTTGGTAGATGACAAGTTAACGTTCGCTTCCAGCAGATGCTGATATCACAAACTAGGTAGTTGATGGTAGATGACAAGTTAAAATTCGCTTCCAGCAGATGCTGATATCACAAACTAGGTAGTTGATGGTAGATGACAAGTTAATGTTTGCTTCCGGCGGCTGCTGATATCACAAACTATGTAATTGTTGGTAGATGACAAGTTAAAATTCGCTTCCAGCAGATGCTGATATCACAAACTAGGTAGTTGATGGTAGATGACAAGTTAATGTTTGCTTCCAGTGGATGCTGATATCACAAACTAGGTAGTTGTTGGTAGATGACAAGTTAATGTATGCTTCCAGCGGATGCTGATATCACAAACTAGGTAGTTGTTGGTAGATGACAAGTTAATGTATGCTTCCAGCGGATGCTGATATCACAAACTAGGTAGTTGTTGGTAGATGACAAGTTAATGTATGCTTCCAGCAGATGCTGATATCACAAACTAGGTAGTTGATGGTAGATGACAAGTTAATGTATGCTTCCAGCGGATGCTGATATCACAAACTAGGTAGTTGTTGGTAGATGACAAGTTAATGTATGCTTCCAGCAGATGCTGATATCACAAACTAGGTAGTTGATGGTAGATGACAAGTTAATGTATGCTTCCAGCGGATGCTGATATCACAGGCTAGGAATTTTTTGTACTGGTACTTACCTTTATAATTTAGGCAGACTATAATATGTAGGTTTTGCTTTATACGTTTGACATAGCGATCAAAGGCTTGTTCTATTTTATCCACACGTTTAGTCTGTACACCTCCAGGCATCATTTGACAGACGATATTAGTCACTTCTTCGTTACTGTACAGTTCTGGTGCTTTACCTGCAAAAACATAGAAATTTTAATCAGTCCAAAATGCAATCTAATAGACGACTAAAGTTAAGGCAGCTTAAAGGGACAGATGCACCATTTTGGGAGGTTGATTTTAGTCTAGAATATATGTAAATAGTCTTCAGAAGTACTAGAAATGTAAGAAAATTGTATAATTTCTTCAAAAATACTTCGAACACTAATTTATAGTCATCTTAAAAGTAATTTAATATTTTGTAAAATTTAGTACTGAACTTACCTTCTGCCATGACTGAGGTGACCAATTGAAGACAGTCAGGGCCCAAACCTTCATGTATTAACAGGACAGTTGACCTTCCATTGACCCCAGCATGAAAACAACTTCTTTTGATATGTTCTTTTATGGACATTAGATTTTTATTTTTATCTTCCAGTGCTTTCGGTTCAAATATCTACAAAGCATATTAGAATTGAAAAAATGTTTTGCTTGTAGCTTTTCTGCCATTGATCCAGAGTGCAAACAGTAAGGAAGAAAAAGTTACACAAAATATTTCGCCTTATTTGATCTTCTAAGGAAAACTTCGCTGTAAAATTCAACATTATTCACGTCTTGTTTTTTAGACACTAAAAGCGAGGTTCATAACGCAAATTACGTCATCCATTGATAAGATGGCAACGTCGTTTGAATGAATAACCTATAAAACGTCACTAAACAATCGATCAACAGCCTCTAAATCGACTTTAAAACTGCCCCTTCTCAAAAATGTGTGAAGGTAAAATTCATCTGAAAGTATCATTAAATAGCTTGATCAATTCTGATATTAATGATGTAAAATATGATTAGTTTTAGTTTCTGAGTTATGGAGAAGGAGGTTTTAAAGACGGCAAGTGGCTATTTCATTGCAGTGACACCATACTACCTTTGTTTGTTAGCGTTATGAGCCTCATTCTGAAATCAATATGGCCGATGCAATAATAAGGTCTATTAAAGGCGAATTTGCTCAGGCTTTTCTAGTTGCTTTGTTCAAAGCTAAACAATTTGTTCTTTGTAAACATATTAGAATTTATGAAATGAAATGAATGGAGTTTTATGTCCTACTTTTCTGCACCTTGTGTGATAATGAAGACGGACAACGCCATGAAGGGTGCAATGAGGGAAATTTTGCCAGGACAGTGGCTTTAACCTGCTCTTTTTCGATTTCCAACCGTCAAGGGATCTTTAACGTGCACAGTTTGTAGCACACAGGGCCTCGGTTTATTGTCCCATCCGAACAACTAAATGCTTTTTCCATGTCAGCCCCTCTTACCTACATCACTAATAAGGGGAAACCAGGTTAAAAAATCCGAAGGTATTATCTCGACCTATGCAGGGATTGAACCCTAGACCTTCAGGTTAGCAAGCAAGTGTCTAACTCACTGAGCCACCGCGGCTACCATTAGAATTTATTTATTGATGAAGTGATTAGCTTACCTTACAGTTAGCTGTATAAGAAGCTAATCTAGCTAATGTTGCTCTACCAGTACAGTAACTTATTCCTAGTAACAGTGCATGACCTCCTGGATAAGCCTTAAAAAAGATATAAAACAAAGCATTATTTCTATTTTTACCTACCAACTTTCGGAAGTTTGTCAAAAAGGCCTATGTGCTGTAACCACCTGTTGTGTGGCACAAAAACACCTCGCATTGGCATCTGATAAACATACTTGCCACCATTTTGATGATGTCACTGTTCCAGCAACACCACCTTTTCACCTGGAACAGCATGGACAGGTCCTGGACACCGTCGTTTCCTGCTTGATTGCTGTACTCCTAATGGGGCATGTTACAGACTGCAAATCGAACGAGTCCCTGGGTAAGATTATTGCAAAGAGGTATGGATGAGGACATGCTCAAAAAGAATTCATAAAACTGTTATCTTTGTAAAATATGGTGATCCTTTCCTTTTGTATCATTACAAATTTTTAAATCATTCTGCACTTCTTTTAGCAAGACAACGATCAGTTGACAACTTACCAAAACCCGACTCAGTCTGGCAGCATGATGTAGAGCCTCTTGAAAGAAAACCAGATCTAACTGTTGACTTGTTCCATTGTTATAAACATCTAAACACGTTGTCATAGCTTCCAGTAAATTATTTTCATTTGTTTCAATATAACCTGAAAGTAAAATATTACAATAAATTTTCAGCATTGTCCTCTGTGTGAGCTTTTCTATAGACATACATTTTGTGATAAAAATAAAACTGTCACTGTGTATATGCTAAATAAGATTACAATTTTGTTATTTTTTTTTTCTGGGTCTCTATTGTAATCTAAAGAAATATATACCAAGACTGAATACTGTTAATGTTCATTTCGACGAATCACAGCGCATCATGCAGAATCTGTGTCTTAATATCTACTATGAATTGTGGGATAGTGAAACTTAAGATAGAGCGATTTGACCAATTAAATTATGAAACTGCTGATACCCGCTTGTAAAAGTGATTCTGATTGGCGGGAGAGTGGTGCATGATTGTCTGCCATAAATAGCTTGAAACGTCATCAGTGCGCGACCTTGGTATAAATCTCGTCAGATTACTACAGAGACAAAAAAATAATAACGACACTGATTAACCCTTTGAACCCTGAGTGTAAAAGCGTATGACGTAAACGTTGTATGACGTCACTTAATAACCGTTGGTATACTGGCTGCTCGGGTATCTATTGCGTTAGTGTGTGGCCGGTAAACTGGGCTCAGGGTTGAAATGAATTAGATTAATATACTAAATATATGAATTACCTTTTTCAATAGGGAGACCAGCATGTTCAGTATAACAGGTTCTATAGTATTTACTAAATATAATACTAGTCAATGCTTTATTACCACTTTTAAACTGCAAAATAAAATATCATATTATCTTGAAGGGACAAGTGCGGTATTTCCGGGAGTAAATCATACTTTGGTCCCACAAATGCGAACTGTTCTGCTAAACTAATCAGTAATTGTGTTCACAGCTTACCGTTGAGATTTGAGCCTTCAAATTCCAGTGTATCCATAATTATCTAAGTTTAAAAAATATTTTAACGAGTCAACCTTTCAAGAGATTTTAAATTCATTTGAGAATCTGTTTATGACGTCATGTGTATATAGTAGACTCAATCATCCTGTCCCACGACAGAAGATGTTTTGGTGTCAGAGACTATACCAACAAGACTGTCAACCCCAAATTTAAGAGAGAAGATAAGCTTGTGAATGAAATAAAACAAAAGTTAAATTTCTTGTTTGAGGTATATTTTAAGGAATTATGACATTTTGTAGATTTCTAGTACTTCTAAAAACTATTTACATATATTCAATACTCAAATCAACCCCTGAAAATGGGGAACCATGGGCTTTAAATGATTGTTCTAAGATATTGTTTACTTGAGAACCAAGAAATAACAAATCAAACTCTCCAAAAGGGATGCTTGAAAGGAAACATAAAATTTAAAGTCTCGAACTTGGTCAATAAGTGTTTATTTTCATCAGTTGAACTTACCAGGTACCATGACTAAAGAATAGAATCCCTCTATAATCTAATAAATCTATAAAACTAAACAATTATTGAAAAACACTTCTATGTATGTTTCAAAATTACTTAGTTTAATGGATTATTACTTAGTTTAATGGATTATTACTTAGTTTAATGGATTATTACTTAGTTTTATAGATTTATTAGATTATAGAGAGATTCTGTTGTATAGTTATGACACCAGGTAAATTCACTGATGAACAAAGACTCATTTTAACGAAGTTTAAAAAAGCATAGAATATACATCAATCATCTGTTATTCTTATTTGTATTTTTCAGCAGATTATGTGTATACTCAAGGCAACAAATTACAGCGATAGATATAGAGTTATTTAGTAATACATGTCATACTAAAACTATCGAGGTACCGATATTGTTGGTTGGTTATTTGTTCATCTTTTGGTAAGTTAGTGTGTATTTTTAGTGTAGAATACGTAATAAGTGTAATTTATCATCAATAACTTGCTTGTCATTTTTATACGCCCACATAAAAAGGGGGGCATATATTGGCATCACCCATGTCAGTCTGTCCAAAATGACTCGTAACCACTTAAAAAGACGCAATTCTTAAAGATGGGTTTCCTTATTTTTTAGTGTCAAATTAAGCAAACTATTTGATTAATTGGTGTTTCTAATGAATTATCATATAATCCTTATCATATCATTATATTCTTATTGCATAAGATTTAGAGTTTTAACCAATCATATATGTCCATGTATGTACAGTCTAGTATAAACAAAAAAGACTTTTTGACCTTTCTTGATCGGTCACTCAATGGAATTCTGCTGGTAATTCTCTTCTAATCATCTAATTATAAATTAATTATGGACATGTGAGACAAACTGGTATTTTTTCAAGTCATTAGAACACCTCTACTTTCTATTCAGTCTAAGTATATTCATAAATGAAAATAAGTGAACCCATCTTTAACAGATTTTGACAAAATTTTGTGAATCGCTTATTATAAGCCATGGATGAACCCTATTAATAATCAGAAAAATAGAAAAATATTCAGTGTGAGTTATTGCCCTTGTTCTTGAAAACGCGAAATATTAGTTTATAAACACTAAAAGACTTGATTCAAAACTTATTGTAATATTGTTCAGTATCGCCCAAAAAGTTCAAAAGAAGTGTATGACTGAAGGTTGAATATTTATTTCATACTGGTGATTGTTACTGTACTGCTAAATATTTTTATTTAAAATCAAAGCTGCCAGTGGGCGTATATTAGCTTGCCTGGCAAGCTATGTTTTAATCTTACCTCATCAACTGACATGAGTGGGCCAGCGTACGCTTCATAATCTCTATCAGCTATCAATCCTGCTTTAAAAGTAACACCTCGCTTAACTCGAGCATTCTTACTCTGCTTACCACCTTTACCTGGTAGTGATGTACCACTTGTAACTAAAATATAACCAAAGACTTCCATCTCACTGCAATTCTCACATAAATTTCAATTTAAAGAGATGGTAAAAGGTTTTCAAAACTTTGTTTGTGTATCAGAGACACTGATAGTATCAATTTGCACCATTCCAATTTTCAATCAGCTGTCTGTGGTTCCTGCAATTCTACTACAACTTAGTACTTGATGATAGTGACATCATCAAATACTAAGATGTGGTAGAATTGCAGGAACCACAGACGTCTGATTGAAAATTGGAATGGTGTTAATTGATGCTATCAGTGTCCCTGATACACAAACAAAGTTTTGAAAACCTCTTTACAATCCCTTTTAGATAAAATCAACTAACTTCAAGTATCTAATTTAAGCTTTAAACAAAATTTTGAACTGAAATTCAGATAAAGACTGTTGATTAAGAACTTTTTGCCAGTCTAGCCACGATACTGATCCTTAGGAAAACAATACTTACCTTCCAGTAAATATGAGGATGGTTTAGAATCTAAAGTTTGTGGTGTTGAGGTGGTATTAGATGTTGGATTAGAAGAAGCTATAAAAGTACATGTGTTCATTGATTAGTTTATTTAATTGTATTAGTTTTTATAAGTAATTAGTTGACATTATTAGTTTTTATATTAGTCATTAGTTAACACCATTAGTTCATCATGAGTTAAAGGGATACGACCCTGTAATGTTTGTTTTGTACCTAATAAAGCTCAATTTCAGGGTATTAGCATTGCTGATAAAATCAGAATAAAGTTAATTTGGTCCCTACTATTCTGCAGTACACAATGGAAAGTTTTTTGTTAATTGATACAAAATGCTGAACCTAAGCTCTTTCAGCTGGTATACATTCTAGACACCTGATACTACCTTTCATTATGAAATAAGCTTACCTACTCATTTTTAATTGTATATTTCCTCATATGAAAATGCTACTAGATGCTACTAATATTGCCAATATATTGTTTTGGATTTAAGGTTTCGTTTTGCGGTTTGGCTCATTAGTACTTGGTTTATTTATACATAAAAAAGAAAGTGGCACATGCAAACTAAAACACAAAATTAGTAACACCATTTGTCTTGTGAGCATAACTCAATACCAAAATAATGTGCTCTTAAAATGCTAAAAATAAACTTACAAAGTGAGGCTTGGTTTGTCATTTGACTGGATTTATACCCTGGAGTGTTTTCTTTACCAACTTCTCCAACTAAAAATACATTAAGATAAGTTTTAAAAACTGGAGATTTGAGACAAGGCATCCAAAATATGCACATACCGAATTTCATTTGATTCCTTCAAACACTCTAGTTTTTAGAGCAATTGATGTTGATAGAAGCACTTACTGTATAGAGGTTAAAAGGGCAATAACTCCTCAATACTGACGTAAGAGGCCTAAATCTTGAAAAAGCCTTAAATTTAATCAGAAGTAAACTAAACTTTTTCAAACCTTTCGATTTAGGCCCAATAACATCCATTTTAAATTTCATCAAAATCAGTTGAAAACTAAGAGAGTAATAGCATATTCAAGATTTTGGGGCAAGGGCAATAACTCTGTTTCTAACAGTCGAAAATAGCTCAAATTCGAACTTGAATATGTACACACATACGGACGGACAGGGGTGCCGACAATATACTTCCACATAGAGAGATGTGGGCGTATAAAAAGTAAAAGCTAATAATAAATGGAACAAAAGTTTGGTCTTATTTTAATTCAGACTGAAACTTACGAGAAGATGAGCCATAGGTCATGGTTTCATCAGTTGAATCACTATCATCATCATCTGCATCATCATCAGAATCTTCAGACTCTTGGCTTTCATCTGATACAGATGGTTTCTTAGGTTCATTCTCCACCGTTTCTGCATCTTCTTCACTTATTTGTCCTGTACAAAATGTATCAAAGTGGTACAGAATTGACAAAAAAATTAGAAAAAATTTAATTGTTCTTCTCTTGTTGATAAATGTTAAATCAAACTTTCATTCTGTTTTTGTTATTAGCTTCTATTTTTAATATAGTTACTTAGAATCCATTGACAGTCTTACTGAACGTTCGTCAACTTAACCTTTTGACCGAGGCTGATAAACACTGCATCACAAAATGCCATCACTGGATAGGTTAAAGCAGACAACATTGGGTTAGGTCAAAAGGTTAATTTAAGGACAGTTTAAGATGGCTGTTGTTAGACCCTAACTGAAGTGGCTATATTAAAAATAAAATCTAATAAACAAACAGAACCAAAGTTTGGTCTAATTTTAATTTTAAAATATTTTGTTAAGACCTGGACCAGTTGTCTCAGAAGATGTTTCTTGTTCAGCATCAGCTTCTTCTATTGTTTCCTGTGTAATACTGACATCAGTTTTGGGTTCAGATTGACTCTCTGAATCAACGTGATTTTCATCAGTCTCTGATGGTTCTTTTACAATTTCTTCCTCTGATTCTTCTTCGGTGTCATCAAAATCAGTAGACATCGAAATAACAGGCGGAGTAAATCTTGGTTTTTGAGCTGGAGTGGAACGACCAACCTAGAATGAAACCAGATTTCAAGGATATATATCATATTCCCAACATGAAAAAACCACTAAAATCAAAATTAAACCCAATAGAATATATCTCAATCCTCAATTTCAAGCATTGCATAATTCTGGTGAAAAATATAACTCTTCACCAATTTGGAAATTGGACACATCACTCCACAGCTAGCTCAGAAACTGTGTCAATCATAAAAGGGCCGCTTGATTGGTGAGTTTTGCATGTTCATGATGTATGGAATCAAGAGATCGTTTAATAAAACAAGTTGGAACAGAGTTCAGAACGTGTTCCACGTGTGCCGAAAAAGTAGAAGGTGCAGACAGAATTCAAAATGGCGGAGAAAGAAGTAAATGGGCAAAATTTCGTACCGTTCGATTGAATTGGAACAGAGCGCCATCCTAGACAGAATACAATGACTAATTATTAGTTGGTAAACTAAAGATACTTACAGGTTCCTCAGAAATAGCTGACATTTCAAGTTTCAGCTCATCTCTTGGTGAACAGAATTGTTTTATAGCTGTGTCTTCCAACATCTTGATGAACCAGGATTGATCTGAAAATAAGAAACAGTTAAATCAATCTGCCTACACTATCTCACCAAGGAATATCACCATCAGTATAACCACAAAAAATATGACCATTTGAACACTTCAAATAAATTATGTCTTGTTTTATAGATCCAGTGGACAAACAGTAACTCTAGTAGACACACAGTATCTCCAATGAACTAGTTCTGGTCTTGTCTAGTCAGTAGCTCTAGTAATTCTATTCTAATCTAGTCTAGTCAGTAGCTCTAGTAATTCTATTCTAATCTAGTCTAGTCAGTAGCTCTAGTAATTCTATTCTAATCTAGTCAGTAGCTCTAGTAATGCCACATAATTCTAGTCTAGTCAGTAGCTCTAGTAATGCAACATAATTCTAGTCTAGTCTAGTCAGTGGCTCTAGTAATGCCACATAATTCTAGTCTAGTCTAGTCAGTAGCTCTGGTGTCAAGTAAATCTGTGAGATACTCAGAAGCTCTATTAGACACTCACTGGATACCAAGTAATTCTAGTAGAGACCAAGTAATTCTAGTACAGACCAATTAACTCTAATGGATGCTCAATAGCTTAAGTGAACACCCTGTAATTTCAGTGAATAAAAAGTAACTCAAGTGGACACCAAGTAACTCTACTGGATGCTTAGTAACTCTAGTGGACATCAAGTAACTCTAGTGGATGCTTAAAAGCTCTAGTGGACAGCAAGTAGCTCTAGTGGACATCAAGTAACTCTAGTGGATGCTTAAAAGATCTAGTGGTCAGCAAGTAGCTCTAGTGGACATCAAGTAACTTTAGTGGATGCTTAAAAGATCTAGTGGACATCAAGTAACTCTAGTGGATGCTTAAAAGATCTAGTGGTCAGCAAGTAGCTCTAGTGGACATCAAGTAACTTTAGTGGATGCTTAAAAGATCTAGTGGACATCAAGTAACTCTAGTGGATGCTTAAAAGATCTAGTGGACAGCAAGTAACTCTAGTCGACACCACGTTACTCTAGTAGGCACCAAATAACTAAAGTGGACACCAAGTAACTGTAGTGGACACCAAGTTACTCTAGTGGATACAAAGTAACTCTTGTGGATGCTCAGCATCTGGACATCCAGTAACTGGACACCAAGTTACTCGCATCCAGTAACTTAACTGGACACCCAGTAACTCTAGGGGGCAGCAAGTAACTACAACCATCTACTTATTAGATTTGGCACTTTTCTACCTACCTTCATCAGAGATGAGTCTATCAGAAAATATTCTGAGGCATTCATGGCACCAGAGTTGAGCTATAACTTTCATCATTGGAGCTGCTTCACTTGACTCAGCTGGTTTACTGTAACCATCAACGGAAGTTTTTCTTCCTTTGGATCTTTCTGGGAAAAGAAAAGAAACAAATTAAATGGATGATCATTGTGTCCAAACCACACCCCCATTCGTCATACTTCCTCGGGGCCGTGGGAACACAAGTGAGAAAAATTATGTATTCATAGATAAATATTGTCCAATCAAAACAAATCACTCTTTATGACGCTTTGTTTGCGAATGTATATCGTGATTCGGGGTAAAGGGATAAAATCTTAATCTTCAAAGTTTTTCTAGATATAATAATTTATAACTTTATAACTGTGATATTTGGTAATATAGTTGATAGAAGTGGTTATTGTCTAATAAATAGTTTCTATATATATTAATTTATAACTTTATAACTGTGATATTTGGTAATATAGTTGATAGCAGTGGTTATTGTCTAATAAATAGTTTCTATATATATTAATTCATAACTTTATAACTGTGATATTTGGTAATATAGTTGATAGAAGTGGTTAGAGTCCACTGTCTAATAAATAGTTTCTATATATATTAATTTATAATCTTATAACTGTGATATTTGGTAATATAGTTGATAGAAGTGGTTACCGTCCACTGTCTTATAAATAGTTTCTATATATATTAATTTATAACTTTATAACTGTGATATTTGGTTATATAGTTGATAGAAGTGGTTAGCGTCCACTGTCTTATAAATAGTTTCTATATATATCAATTTATAACTTTATAACTGTGATATTTGGTAATATAGTTGATAGAAGTTGTTAGCGTCCACTGTCTTATAAATAGTTTCTATATACATTAATTTATAACTTTATAACTGTGATATTTGGTAATATAGTTGATAGAAGTGGTTAGCGTCCACTGTCTTATAAATAGTTTCTATATATATTAATTTATAACTTTATAACTGTGATATTTGGTAATATAGTTGATAGAAGTGGTTAGCGTCCACTGTCTTATAAATATTTTCTATATATATTAATTTATAACTTTATAACTGTGATATTTGGTTATATAGTTGATAGAAGTAGTTAGCGTCCACTGTCTTATAAATAGTTTCTATATATATTAATTTATAATTTTATAACTGTGATATTTGGTAATATAGTTGATAGAAGCGGTTATTGTCCATTAAATAGTTTCTATATATATTAATTTATAATCTTATAACTGTGATATTTGGTTATATAGTTGATAGAAGTGGTTAGCGTCCACTGTCTTATAAATAGTTTCTATATATATTAATTTATAACTTTATAACTGTGATATTTGGTAATATAGTTGATAGAAGTGGTTAGTGTCCATTGTCTTATAAATAGTTTCTATATATATTAATTTATAATTTTATAACTGTGATATTTGGTAATATAGTTGATAGAAGTGGTTAACGTCCACTGTCTTATATATAGTTTCTATATATATTAATTTATAATTTTATAACTGTGATATTTGGTAATATAGTTGATAGAAGTGGTTAACGTCCACTGTCTTATATATAGTTTCTATATATATTAATTTATAACTTTATAATTGTGATATTTGGTAATATATTTGATAGAAGTGGTTAGCGTCCACTGTCTTATAAATAGTTTCTATATATATTAATTTATAATTTTATAACTGTGATATTTGGTAATATAGTTGATAGGAGTGGTTAGCGTCCACTGTCTTATAAATAGTTTCTATATATATTAATTTATAACTTTATAAATAACTGTGATATTTGGTTATATAGTTAATAGAAGTGGTTAGTGTCCACTGTCTTATAAATAGTTTCTATATATATTAATTTATAACTTTATAACTGTGATATTTGGTAATATAGTTGATAGAAGTGGTTAGTGTCCACTGTCTTAAAAATAGTTTCTAACAATTTCAGTCAAAATTTGCGATTCCATTCACCGACTTATAAAACCACCCACTGTTTTTAAGGAATGAGAGATATCGTCATGTATCGATATATGACCTTGCGATACGATACGCATATCATTGCATGTCGTATCGTGATACATCAAACTAATATACTACTTACTGTCGGCTTTCTTCATATTTTTGTTTTTCCTCAACCTAGATCTAGGGGACATGAGCAGAACTCCTTGTACAACCTTGGCTAAATCGTGTAGATTGAAGAGATAGTGCGCATGGGCTGGTGAAGGCTTCAATCTCTCTCTTACTGAATTATACACTTCTAATAGACCTACTACCATAGCCTGTAATAGAGAGTTCACACAGTTAAAATAATTATTTAAGCAATAAACTGTTACCCTATGGCGGCTATGGTCATATATCAGGACAAAGGTCTCAACTTCGACAGATATCCCCCATTAATTCACCCTCAGTTATAGTTTCATTTTAGAATTTGTGCGTGAAGAGACTGCATTGCTCAAGAAGTGTCTTCATTGTTTTCTTTCCTTTGAATTCAATCCATCTACATCCGTTTGTTGCCAAGGTGATTTGCAGATTTTTATCGTTATTCCTGCTAACAGATGAGGATATATTTTCATATTTGAATTGTTTATCGCAGCCAACATCGGAGCTTTAGTTTCGCTGACTAGCTTGTCCGCCTCAGCCAGTGACGGAGCCACCCCTCAGAGCTGATCCCTCTGCCCCTCCCCTCGCAGCTGTAAAAGCAAGTTTTCCGAGCAAAATTCTCATAACTAGGTATTTTCCCCTCCCTTGGACGTAAACCTGGCTCTGCCACTGGCCTCGCCTGTTTTTTACCAATGGTCCCCACTCAGCAGATTTCACACCTACCTTGGCAAATTCTTGATGATGTTCTACAGAATAGGAAGGGAACTCTTCAAGCCACGAATGTAGAGGTTTAGAAAAAACTGTCAACAATGTATCAGTGGAAGGTTTAAACAGGTTCAAATTAACAAAGAGTCTGGTTAATCTGGATGACAACAGATGACTGGATGTTCCTAGTCCTGTACCTGCAATCATTAATGGGATTTGACCAAATAAATGGCAGTGGTTGGAATTGTCTATGTATAAGGCCATTATATTAATTTATGTAATTAGAATTGTCTGCAAATATATGACCCATGCTTTCTTTTTTGTTGCCTTATATGATCAACCTCTTCAGAATCTTATTGCCACCATGTACCAAGTGGTGTATATAGACAGTAATTTTTGGGCCATTTCTTGGAATTCACTGATCAGCAAGCATGATTGACAGCTGAATATTAGCCGCCATGTCTTACCCACAAACAACAAAGCGTGTATCATAAATAAAATTTAATTATTAACAACTCGTGTGTATCTGACAAAATGGAATTGAGGTGTGTAGGGGGTACTTGCAATGCAGACGTGAGATATCCAGAAAGATTGGGAGGAGGTCATTTTGTGTGGTTGTTTGTGGTCATTGACAACTATATTTAAGAGAGAAGGAACAATATTTTGAAAGGATAACATCTTCGGTTCACAATTAAGGATCCTTTCTACCAGCTGGTCCTTGGTCAAACCTTTTGACATTGATCTTTCCCAGATTATCTGTACCCATTTACAGCTGGGCCGACTGGATTTATGAGTGAAGATGACTTATTCAAGGTCATCAGAATATCACACGCCGATTGAGATCGGAACCCACAGTCGCCATTTGCTCGATTAACCAAGCAAATGACGTCATGTAAAGAACCAACGCTCTAACCAACTGTTCTTGCGGATTTTTGAATTGAGTTTACCTGGAGAGGCAGGATTGGTGCAGGCAGCAACAAATCCAATATCAGGCATAGTCTGTAACTCTAGTCTCTGTTTATCATACACAGCGCCGTGAGTTAGAGTCTGACGTAGTAACTCTAAAGATGGTTGATAACTTCCTGTTGTACCACACATACTTAGGTCATCAATAAAAAATAAATGACTTTGTTTTCCATGGGATAAAGCTGATGCTCCTACTGGATTCAGCCCACGATTTTTCAACTCCATGACACGTGACAGAAGTTTCGTCTGCAGCAATGACGATGTCATATCATGAGACATTCTGATTGTCGTTGAAGCATGACGAGTCATGATCAAATTCTGAAAAGAAATCAAGGAAATTTGTGAAATGATGTAAAATTCCGAAATAAGAGCTAGAAGTGTACAACATAGCCATTTTAACTATATGTGGACTCTCTGTAAGGTTAACCAAATGGACAAATTCAATTGCTAATGGTAGTGGGTGAGTGAGGTCTGTGTCCTCGAGTGGAAAAATGAAATGAAATGCCTTACTTTTCTGCACTAATGAAGCTAATGAAGAAGGGCAACACAATGCAGAGTGCAATGAGGGAAATTTTGCCAGCACACCGACATCCCACTACTCTTTTTAGAACTGTCAAGGGATCTTTAATGTGCACAGCCTGTAGCACACGAGGCCTCGGTTTATTGTCCCATCCAAAGGACTAGACGCTTTTTCCATGTCACCCCCTCTTACCTTCATCACTAACAGTGGGAAACCAGGTTGAAAAATCGGAAGGTATTATCTCGACCTATGCCGTCTATTGGTAGTGATAAAAAGTTCAGAATAAACATAAATGTTACCTGTATTAAAGATGTTTTACCAACACCAGGAGAACCAGATAGTAGCACTGGTTGGTTAGAGTGGACCAGTAAATCTATTATATAATGGTATCTTTCAGTCTGAAACACAGAACATCAGGCATTTTAAGAGAACCATAAAAAGATGAATTACAGACCTAGTATTCAGACTTATAGTCTAAAAACGTTTACCAATGAGTCATGTTCCATTTGTTTCAAAAGGGGTCGCTCGATTGGTGAGTTCTGCACGTTCATGGAACCAACCAAACAAGTTAGAACAGAATTTAGAATGTGTTTTATGCCTGCCGAAAAATTAGTAGGTGCAGACAGAATTAAAAATGGCGGAGAAGGAAAAAGATAAGAAAATTTTGAAATTGACACATCCGCTTTGAGGCCAGATTAGAATTGGAACAGGCGCAGCCTGTTCAGAACTCTCCAATCAACTGCTACCATTTATGACCACAAGAAGATGATTCTTTGAGAAACTTCCATGACTATGTCATGACTATTAAAGGAATAGATGCGCCATTTTTCAGTACCAATCATACTTTAGTCTCAGAAACTGGAATTTATTTTAGCTTAGCCAATCAGTAATAGTATTCACAGCTCAATGTCAAAATTTGAGCCTTCAAATCCACTTGTGTCCAGATTATCCGTGTTTGAATGTAAAATGACGACTCGTCAATTTAAGATACTCTGTGATATATAGAAAAGACATTCTATAGAAATAGGGAAAGAAATTCCTAGTTTGAAATATTTTTTAAGAAAATATGGGATTTATGTACATTTCTAGTTATTCTGAAAACTATTTACATATATTCAAAACCCAAATCAACCCCCCAAAATGCCTCATCTGTCCCTTTAAGGTTATTAAAGAAGAAAGGGTAGCACAGTGCAGTGCAAACAAAATCAACAACAAAACCCTTTTCTTGGTATGAAAATGCCATTACAGCCATTAGTACGAGTGGGCCAGTAAAAGGCTCAAAATTTCAGCCTTAGAAGCAGTAAATTCCTTACCTCAGAGGTGACAATAAATCCTCCAACATTTTTCAGTTTTTCTGTTTGTTTTTCACTCCAGCGTACAAAGGCACCCGAAGATTCTTCCACATAATAATCAAACACTTGTCCCCACATAGGCAGACGTATTGGATGGCGAGCATGGTACAGAATCTCATGAGCAAATCTACTAAATCTATCTCTAAATCTGAAGAGTAAAAAACATAACTACATGTATTTAATTTATTGGTTGGCTACAACGATAAATCTTTCGGCCAAAAAAATAAAAAGATGGGCAAAGACCACATCATGTGAAATTTCAAAACAAAACACAAAAGATCATTGGCAATAAACCTTATTCACGCCTCGTTTTTGAGGCGGTAATCAATTCTGATTTTAATGATGTAAAATATGATTAGTTTTAAATTAGTGGGATTGGAGGAGTTTTGGTGGCGATTTTATGCAGTGACGCGCTGTGACCTTTGTTTGTTTGAGTTATGAGCCTCGTTCTGGATTCATTATGGCCGACGCCTGATAGGTTTGGACAAGTACCAACTCCTATAGAAAGGATCTTATGTTACATCTATGGTCCTAACAACCAAAAATCTGGAAGCAAATTTTAAAAAATTTATTACTCCTAACCTGTCATGCACAGATCCACCAAAAGCCCAAATAAAAGAGAATGCAAACATAGACTGGACTAGTTCCATGTAGTTTGGTATCATCATATCTATCTGAGAGGTGGTTGTTAGTCTACTAGACATATTCCTGGAGGGACTACTCCCCATACTTTTATTACTCGATTCCCTATCTGAAATAAGATCATCTTATGCTTTAAAGTGACAGCTGCAGCATTTTTTTGACCAATCGTACTCAGAAACAGGAATTTTTTAGCTAAGCCAATCAGTATTAGTGTTTACAGCTCCCCATTGAAATTTGATCCTTCAAATCCATGTGTATCAAGAATTACCTGCACTTGACTCGTCTGTTTTGAGACACTAGCACAATGTAGAAAGGACATCTATAGAAAAGATATTTACAACATTCGGCAGCAGGGTAATTGCTCATTAAATCTTACCTTCTGTAGTTTCTAATTTCAACTTCCTTTCTAATTCATCTCGTAATAACACACGATCCAGCATGGCATTAAAAATCATGAAGAATGATGTCACTTCCTGTATACCCTTGACAACAGAGTTCTGATTGGTCAACGTTTGACTGATATTCATGTTGAGACCAGACATACATTCAGATTTGAGATATTTTAAGGTTGGTGGGAACACATCATCTATAAGATTCTCTAGTATGTTGGTACTGTAACATAAAATGATAGTGGTCTGTAGTATCCTGTATTTAGTCAGTATAATGATAAATCTAGTTGAATTTTTTGGCTTAGCCAATCAGTATTAATGTTCATAGCTCACAGTCGAAATGTGAGCCTTCAAATCCATGTGTATCTAGAATTATCTGCAATTGAATGTAGTCATACATACAGATACTCTGTGATAGAATAGACATATATAGAAACAGTGAGTAAAGTTCCTAGTTTGAGATATTTTTAAAGGAATTATGCGATTTTCGTACATTTCTAGTACTTCTGAAGACAGATGACATATTTAAGACAAAAATCAATCTTCCAAAATGCCCCATATGTCCCTTTAAACTTACCAATTAGCTGTTATGACCCAGCGATGTTTGGCTGTCTGTTTCCAGTGATAAAATAAAGATTTCCAGTAAACAGTGGACTCTTGACAGTGAACAACTGAACACCGTGCTATAGAGGATGGTGAGGCATTGTGGAGTGAACATGTTTCAAATATAACTGATGTTGTATCTAAAGTGAGATCAAAACAGAAAAAAAAATCACACAAAGAAATATCATGCATTATGGTGCGGGCAGACAAACAGTCAACACAAATCTGGAGTAAAATCTCAGGTGTGCCACGCTTTGCTGACAGGATTTTTAATATCAAACATGTTTGAATTTTGTCACCGATTATTTTATCGTCTGCAATACAGAGTGTCAACATCCAATCAGATTAATTTTCCTTTCAATTGCCTGATCTGCATGCATGTATCAACATAGTGGAAAATAATCAACTGGAGATTTTTTGTTTCCTCGTGTGCCCGCAGCTGGTGATTTTTCTTTTTTAAGATGCTTTGAAAGTCATTTCCTATTCTTTTTGTCCCTTAAACCAAATCCTTAGCTATTTTAGTCAAAAAAAGAAAAAAATACCACTGGAAATATAAATAGAAGTTTGGGATCTCTGATACATGAAGAGAAAAAACAGAATAATCAACAAAATATACTTAAAGATGGGTTTCCTTATTTTGTAATGTCAAATTAAGCAAACTATTTGATTAATTGGTGTGTCTAATAAATTATCATGTATTCTTAATCATATCATTATGTTCTTATTGCATATATAATAAAATGTCCATGTCAGTCTGGATAAACAAAAAAAAATACCCAACTTATTGACCTTTCTTGATCAGTTACTCATTGGAAGTCATTGGTAATTTTCTTCTAATTTAGTTAGTTAGTTATGAATTAATTATTGACATGTGAGACAAACTGGTATTTTTCCAAGTCATTAGAACACCTCTACTTTCTATTCATATAAGTATTAGCTCTTTAACTCTTTAAAATATAGCCTTGCGAAAACAGAGAAAATAGAGTGAAAACGATAAGTCGAACAAGATATTTAGGTGAAAACTTATAAGATCATCACGAAAATTGATAGGGATCATCTTCATAATGACAGTAACGGAACTCTTCTTTAATACAGACAAAAAATTAATGCATTTGATATTTCTGCAATGTGTTCAGTGGAAAAAACACACAATTACCTTTCCGTTCAATTTTTTCAGCATTAGCTGTAATCTGGCAACGCTGTTCATCTAGTAAGGTTTTAAATCCGTCTGTCCACAATGGATCCATTTCACCATCTAACACAATCCAGCGTGTTAAAATGGACGGCAGCTCTGTTGTTCCAGTGTTCTTTAATTTCTTATCACCATTTACATATGATTCTACATGCGCCTTAGTAGCTAGTGCCATCGTGTAGGAATCTTTTACTATTTTTGTAAGTAGTCCACCAGACCAGAGTCCATTTTGGAAATGACCAAGAAGCTGAAATGAAAGGATAACTGTCTTTTAAACGAGAAAATATTTTCACAAAAGTCATTTCAGTTTGATTATAATTCTATACTTCGGTACATTTTCTTTAAAGAGATTGTAAAGAGGTTTTCTAAATTTTTGATGTGTATTGAGGACACTGATAGCTAGTGACATCATAAAAAGCTTTAGTTTTAGTCGAAATGCACGAACCACAGACGTTGGAATGGTGCAAATTGATGCTATCAGTGTCCCCGATACACATAAAAAATTTAGAAAACCTCTTTACAATCCATTTAATTTTGTTTTCTTTCTTAGGGGTGTGGTCCTGTGGCCTTGGTTCAACCAGTCTCTATGGTAGTAGAGCCACCACAATGTACATCTGTAGACTTACTTCTTCAGGCATCATAGAAGTTGGATTTATTTTCACGACATCAACTTTAGGGTATTCAGCATGATCTGGTTTTTTCTTTTCTTTGATCTTGTCTTGTACGTTGTCAATATAATCTTGAGCTCGTGTTATATTCTGACGTAGATTTTTTATCTTCTTAAAGCCAGTCAATTCACGTTTCTTAGTTTTGATAAAATCGGTGTTTTCTATGTCTGCTACAATCTATCATCATAAATAAATAAATCATGACATTTATTTATTATCCAAGAAAATTTGTCTCCAGAATGGGCCAATGTGTCACCCCATCAGAGTTTTTAGAGAGTTAACATAGTGTATATCAATATTTTGTAACTTTAACATAACTGTATAAGTAGAAATATTAAAACAGAACTTGAATCATGTTGTTACTCAGAGTTTCACGCTATGCATTCTTTAGACAACTGATCTATTTTCAGCCTGTGTTTCAGACAACAGACCTATTTTTTTTAGAAATATTGAAACAGAACTTGAATCATGTTGCTCAACGTAACCAAGCAAATGACGTCACGTAAAGAACCATTGCTGTAATCCACTGTGCTATAGAAGCTTACACTATTGATAGATTTGATAGAAAAAGAGGAGTAAAACTAAGAATTATTGAATGATTTACCACAAGAAGCTAAACGTTATATATTTACAAAGATTTAGACATAAATTATTATTATATCATTTAGTTAATGATAGATATTGCATAGAAAACTTTAGACAAAGGTGACATCAATAAAGAATATGGATCATAGAAATAATATAAAAGCCAAGAAAATAAAAATAAGCAATATAACTAAAGTTGTAACATAAATTGCATTTTTCTTTGATTTTTTTTAAGAAATAAATTGCTTAAATGTATGGTTGAGGAAAACCATGGTCTATCAGCCATTTGTTGTTGTACCATACTTGGATACCTTAAAGAAGAAAGTAGGTGGAGCTTAGGTGGGCTAAAACCAGTGCATTTTGATGTGATTGCAAGGCTGAAGCTCCACCCCTTTTTGCCGTAAAAAGTTCAAGCTGTCAATTATTTTAATTTATGTTACAAGTCATATATACCATTTGTCTTACTTATTAACATATAACATCCTAACGAATTCGTTTGTTTAAATATGTTAATGAGTAACAACTATGGTATATATATAGTCTTACTATGTATGAATATAAAAGAAGCAAGCAATATATATCTATGACAGCCTTTACTTACATCACCATCATCATCCTTAAAATAAATGTTATCCAAATAAAATTTAATAAAAAAATTAGGTAATTATGAACCACATGTTTAAAGGTTTACTAAGCTTAGCTCTTAGGATGACAAAGAAATTGAAATTTTTAAACTTGGTTAAAAGGAGTCTTTGTTCATCAGTGGACTTATCTGGTGTCATAACTATACAACAGAATCTCTCTATAATCCAATAAATCTATAAAAATTCAATAATATTTAGAAGCGTTTTTCAATAATTATTTAGTTTAATGGATATATCATCTTATATAGAGATTCTATTCTTTAGTCATGGTACCTGGTAAGTCTAACTGATGAATATATACTCTTATTGACCAAGTTTGTGACTTTCAATGTCTTGTCTATTCTAAGAGGTAATATTCCATTAAACAAGAAGACAAATAATACGATTTTATTTTTCGAAAGGCACAAAACTATTTCTGACTCGTGGTAAATAAAAACAAACAAATATGTAATTCAAATACAACAAATGAAAATAACATTGTCAACAAAATTCTATTCTCACCTTAATTTTTTGAGTATTGGCATGGACTAAACCATATTCTGTATTTAATTCATCTTTAGAATGATCGGGACTGTATGATTTGTAGTTCAGTGAATTAATAGCTCTAGATAGTGTATTATATAGTGTTGATTTACCACTACCAGTAGGTCCTGTTATAATCACTGGACTCTTCTGTTCTACTGCTGTATGAAGTTGTAGTGTCTGCAACAAAATCATATCAGAATAAAAGCATCATTAAGGCAGACATTACATAGGTAACGCCTCACATTTTAAAGGGACAGGTGCCTCATTTTTTTGACCAATCATACTTTAGTCTCAGAAATGTAAATAATAATAGTAATAGTGTTCACAGCTCAACGTCGAAATTTGAGCCTTCAAATTCATGTGTGTCTAGAATTATCCGCATTTGAATGTTAAAATGATGACATGTTAATTCAAGATACTCTGTGATATATAGAAATGACATATTTAGCAATAGTGAGTAAAATTCCTATTTTGAAGTATTTTTGAAAGAATTATGCAATTTTTGTACATTTCTAGTACTTCTGAAAACTATTTACATATATTCAAAACTAAAAAATGGAATTTATGAAATGAGTTGCCAGATTCTAACATAGTTGTCAACTTCAAAGAATGTCATGTTGTTCTGTTTACATGGGGCATGAACCTGTGTTATGTACCAGAGAACAGAACTGTTGTGTGATACATGTAACTGCATTCACACAAGAGATAATTCTTACCTTCAAAACTAAGTCTTCATTTTCTTCTAAATAATCATCTTTAAGTTGTGACTTGATAGCAGAGACAACATTAGGATCGTAAGACTGGTAGGGCAAGTCTTGTTGATTGGACATAGCGACTGGAAACACATCCTTTAATATGTTACTAAATATAGATACATGTTCTGCATCTTCAAAACGGGAGGTGAGAAGTTCTTTTAAAGTAAAAACTAAACTGTTCTCTTCTGCCATTCCAATATCTTCTGTTTCAGATGTTCTTGATTCTCCATCTTGAATAAAGGTAGAAATAATACTATGGTTGAGCAAATATATTTGGGCACATTTTTTATGCCCATGTTTTAAAATAAAAATATTGTTCCATTTTTCATTAGCTTGTAGTTTTAATATAGTCAGTGACTAATGACAACCCTTTTTAACATCCATCAAATTAACCTTTTAACCTAACTCACTTTCGTCTGCTTTAACCAATCAATTTCTACCCTCTCCACTGCTGGCATTTTGTGATGCAGTGTTTATCTGGTTAGGTCAAAAAGTTATTTTGAAAATCATTGAAAAGGGCTGTCGTTAGACCTTAACTGAAGTGGCTATATTAAAAATAAAAGTTAATAAATGAATGTTTGGTCTAATATTAATTAGACTGGTAGATACATAGATGTAAATGCTTATTTTAGAAATATTTTCAGGTACAATTTAAGATTTGAACAACATTTTGAAGCGGAGAGCACATATAACAAAAACACAAGGAAATACCTTAAAATATTCCATTGTGTTTTTATTTAAGGTATAATTTACAATTTTTTTGATAATGAAAATTTCGCACACTCCCCCTTTAATACTTACCCTCAGTTTCTGTAGAGATATAATCTAAATGTCTATTGCTTCGTAAGTTTTTAACACTGGCTATAATAATAGTCTTTATTTCTCGTAAATTGATGTTGGAACTTGGACTATTTGGTAACTGGAAATGAATCAAAAATTTAAAGTTGGATTGACATTTTAACAGAAAAGGGGTTGTATAATCTCAAGCTAAGGACATACTGGACGAATATTATTTGCCGGTATTTTTGCAGAACTATTCGTCGCCGAATTTATTAGGCCAACGCAGCAGTCACACTGGACGAACGCCTGATTTGATAACTCGCCTACAAATTAAATTACGCATGTGAACGGCACTTAGTCACATGATAAAAATATGATGGTGTCCAGAAAGAAGAGAAGAACGCCAACTGCTTATATCATATAACTCCCACAACATAATTAATTTCTCTTTATTTTCTGCACTTCACATTGCATTGCTGGAGGTTGCCATTGGCGTCTGTGATTGGTTTAGTTACAGGAAAGTTCACGATAGACTTCGTCAGAGTGGACACACTTGCCGAACGTGTCGATAAATATTTGGGCGATTAATATCTAACACACTTGATGTTGGCGAATGTCTTCAGCCGATGGTCGGACGAATGTCGTAGCACTGGACACACTACAGGAAAGCAGCATTAGCCTACCCTTGTCTTTCGATTCCCAAATGTCAATGGGTCTTAAACATGCACAGCCTGTTGCACATGGGGCCTCCGTTTATTGTCCCATCCGAATGACTTAACGCTTTTGCCATGTTAGCCCCTCTTACCTGCATCACTGACAGGGGGAAACCGGGTTAAAAATGGAAATGGATAAAAATTTAAATCTTAAAATTCAACTGAAATTCAAATCCAAATGTGTCAGATTTCCCTTTTTCCTATACCTAGATTGTATTTAGGTTTATGATATTAATAAAAATGGCCTCCAGGTATCAATGGGTTAAGCAATCAGAGAATCTGAGATTCGACAAATGGTCTGTATAATCTGATTTGTGTCTAGAACAACCAGTGCACAGGGTATCATTAAAAGATTTACGGCATTCTTACATATAACTTCAAAGAACTAAGAAATCGTGAGAACTTTTGAGCTAGTTGTAATGAAGTAGTATAGTTGTAGATATAAAACATGGTCTGGATAATCTGATTTGTGTCTGGAACAACCAGTGCACAGGGTCTCATTAGTAGCTGAAACAATAATAAAAAATGATCGTAGAGTTGAATTAAAAAATATATATCGTATATAATGTCAAGTAATGAAGACAGGCAACACCATGCAGTGTGCAATGAGGAAAACTACTGTTTTTCAATTTCCAACCATCGAGGGATATTTAACATGCACAGCCTGTAGCACACAGGGCCTTGGTTTATTGTCCTATTTGAAGGACTAGACCCTTTTCCATGTCAGCTTCTCTTACCTACATCACTGACAGGAGGAAACCGGGTTGAAAAATCAGAAGGTATTATCTCAACCTATGTTGGGATTGAACCCTAGATCTTCAAGTCGCAGAACTGTTTTGTGATAAAATAAATTCATACCCTGAAATTCTCTGGTATATGAGAAGCAGTATTATTTCTTGTGGTCATGGTCATGAAGCACCCATAGTTAGAGCTAGCTGGTATCAGTCTACCATTAAACATAATATTACCCAATTTAGGATGAAAATAGCTGGGTTCTTGGGTTAATTTACTGTAATCAACTTGGGATTTTCTCTTTTTCACATGTTCTAAATGAAATAATATTGAATGGAAACAATCTTGTTGTGGAATCTTTAAACATTTGAACTATTTCAGCCACTATCCCTACTGCAGTTTGATGACCTTAAAGGAATTGTAAAAAGGTTTTCTAAATTTTTTATGTGTATCAGGGATTCTGATAGCATCAATTTACACCATTCTAATTTTTGAACAGATGTCTGTGGTTCTGCGATTCAACTAAAACTAAGTGTTTGATGACGTCTGACAGAAAATTGGAATAATGCAAATTGATCTTATCAGTGTTCCCAGTATACAAAGTTTAGAAAACCTCTTTTAAATCTCTTTAATAGAGGCACATAGTAATTTAATTTTTCACTGAATTCAATATTTAGTTATCCTGAACACTTAAAACACTCAAAATAACTGCACCTGGCTTGTCTGTAATTAGCTAACCAATTGCTTATACCCGGGAAATCATATTACTATATTACCCTATTTTCACCAAACTCTGCATTCGTTTCACAAAGTCTCAACATGTCCTCACAGTTAAAATATCTAAAAAAAAATTGGCCTACCATAGAATAATGGAGGTGGTCTATTAGCTCTGTATAATTCAGATTCTTTTATTTCTATTTCTCTTTCGATAGAATGGCGTCTCTGTTCTCTTTCAGCTATCCATGTATCTTCAAAATATGTCATCAATCCTTTCTCCTAAAAATGATTCAAAAGGATAATGGAAATGGTTTCAAAGTATGATGGAAAAGGTGCCAAAAGGATTATGGAAAGTGTGTAAAGGTATTAAAAGGATTATGGACAAGCATTAAAAGGATTATGGAAAAGTATCAAAAGGATAATGGAAAAGGTATCAAAAAAACTATGGAAAGGGAATCAAAAGAACCATGGAAAAAGTACTAAAAGGATAATGGAAAAGGTATCAAAAGGATTATGGAAAGTGTAGTATCAAACGGACTATGGAAAAGGTATCAAAGCATGATGGAAAAGGTGCCAAGAGGATTATGGAACGCTATAAAAAGGATAATGGAAAATGTATTAAAAGGAATGTGGAAAGAGTTGTAAAATGATTATGGAATAGATATGAAAGGACTATTTAAAATGTATTAAAGTATTATAGAAGGTTTCAAAGGCAAAAGGATGATGGTAAAGGTTTCAAAGACAAAAGGATTATAGAACAGGATAATGGAAAATACATCAATAAGGATTTGGAAAGGGTATCAAAACGATTATAGAAAAGGTATGAAAAGGATAATGGAAAAGGAAAAGGGACTTTGGAAAAACGTATCAAAAGGATAAGGGAAAACGTATCAAAAGGATGATAGATAAGGGAAAGGTATGAAAAGGATAATGGAAAATGTATGAAAAAGACAACAGAAAAGGTATGAAAAGGATTATAGAGAAAAAATCAAAAGGATTATAGAAACAGTATCAAAAGGATAATGGAAAAGGTATCAAAAGAACTATGGAAAAGGTACCAAAAGGACTATGGAAAAGGTATCAAATGGCTTATGGAGAAAAAATCAAAAGGATTATAAAAACAGTATCAAAAGGATTATAAAAACAGTATCAAAAGGATTATAAAAACAGTATCAAAAGGATAATGGACGAGGTATCAAAGCCATAACACAGAAGATAAACTTACATTAAAACCATGTGGTACAGTTCTCTGTCTATCTAGACCAGGAGATGGTGTAGTGTGAGGTAATGGATGAAGTGTTGTTAGAGAATTTCTTCTTATTACTTGTTCTTCACTACCAACCTTCTACAAACAACAAAAAATTCATTTTGCATGAGTTGTGGCCTTATTCTCAAAAACTTCAAATGATCTTAGTGTTCCAGTCATCTGATTGGTCAAATCAATTTTAAGTCAAACTTAAGTCAAATGATGCTAGCACATTTATTGTTTTACAAATTCCCTGAAAATTACCATTATCTTATATAAATGAATTCTGTATGTTCATTACAAGGCAAGGATGTTGATATTTTGTTAATTTTAGTGTGACTATTGGTCATATTTTCACCAATTTTCAGAACAGGACAAAAAAAAAAATTGAGCCTAGGGTACATTGCAGCAGTGGCGGTGCCAGACTGGGGGTACAAATAGGGGGGAGACTGACTCAATGGGGGGACAACTGCTGAGGCTGAATTCAAATTTTGGCTACACTGTGATGGTGTTATAGCAAGCCTCTCATAGTCAAAGAGGGTTCTCTCCAGAAATTTTGGGGAAAAAAGGTAGACATTTAGATTTGTTGAAAATAAAGTGTTGGTACAATTGGGTGTGCAAACCACTTTTCTCCCCTGTACTCCCACTGGGTAGAAATGCATTGGAAGCATCTAGAAGCTTAAATAAAACATAACTTACAAATATTTGGTTTAAACAAATGTTTTGTGATGCATTAAAAAAACTATTGAAAAAAATATTGAAAAAATACAATTTAAGAATTTAGTCAAGAGCATTTAGAAATGATGTTTTATCTCACATTTTTCTTTAGATTACTACACCTGCAATCCATGATCTGACATCTATAGTCTTTTCCTGTTCAGTCGAAGTTTTAAACAATTATATTGTAAAAAATTAAGCTTGTATGCTATAAGAGCTATAATATGAGCTTGTATGCTATAAGGGCTATAAATTAAGCTTGTATGCTATAATAGTTATAAATCAAGCTTGTTTGCTCTAAGGGCTATAAATTAAGCTTGTATGGTATAAGAGCTAAATATTAAGCTTGTCTGCTATAAGGGCTATAAATTAAGCTTGTATGGTATAAGAGCTAAATATTAAGCTTGTATGGTATAAGAGCTATAAATTAAGCTTGTCTGCTATAAGAGCTATAAATTAAGCTTGTATGGTATAAGAGCTATAAATTAAGCTTGTATGGTATAAGAGCTATATATGAGCTATAAATTAAGTTTGTATGCTACAAGAGCTGTAAATCAAGCTTGTGTGCTATAAGAGCTATAAATTACGCTTTTATGCTATAAGAGCTGTAAACCAAGCTTGTCAGCTATAAATTAAGCTTGTATGCTATCAGAGCTATAAATTAAGCTTGCATGGTATAAGAGCTATAAATAAAGCTTGTGTGCTACAAGAGCTGTAAATATAACTTGTCAGCTACAAGAGCTATAAATCAAGCTTTTTTGCTATAAGAGCTATAAATTAAGCTTGTATGGTATAAGAGCTATAAATTAAGCTTGTATGGTATAAGAGCTATATATGAGCTATAAATTAAGTTTGTATGCTACAAGAGCTGTAAATCAAGCTTGTGTGCTATAAGAGCTATAAATTACGCTTTTATGCTATAAGAGCTGTAAACCAAGCTTGTCAGCTATAAATTAAGCTTGTATGCTATCAGAGCTATAAATTAAGCTTGCATGGTATAAGAGCTATAAATAAAGCTTGTGTGCTACAAGAGCTGTAAATATAACTTGTCAGCTACAAGAGCTATAAATCAAGCTTTTTTGCTATAAGAGCTATAAATTAAGCTTATATGATATAAGGGCTATAAATTAAGCTTGTCAGCTATAAGTGCTATAAGTTAAGCTTGTAAGCTATAGGAGCTTTATATTAAGCTTGTAAGCTATAAGAGCTATAAATCAAGCTTTTATGCTGTAAGAGCTATAAATTAAGCTTGTATGCTATAAGAGCTGTAAATTAAGCTATCTAATTGTGTGTGCTATATAACAATTGATCATATATATTGGTGCTATAAAATAAGCTTTTCTATAATTAAAACTTATATAAAATACAACATACCACAGAAAATTTCTGTAAAATGATAAAATAATTTTACTGTTAAAATAATACTGGATACATCAGTTGAAGAGCGATGTAAGTGTTTGATATCGTGACTTATTGCAAAATATTCCTCACATAAGGCCCTTCGCAAGTAGTGACGTCATCAAACACTTAGTTTTAGTGGAATTGCAGGAACCACAGATGTCTGATTGAAATTTGGAATGGTGCAAAACCCCTTTAAAGAGATACATGTGCCATTTTTTTGACCAATCATACTTAAGTCTCAGAAACCGGAATTTTTTTGCTAAACCAATCTGTTATAGCGTTCACAGCTCACAGTCGGATTTGAGCCTTCAAATCCATGTTTGTCCAGAATTATCTGTGATTGAAAATACATATATAGAAATAGCGAGTAAATTTCATGGTTTGAAGTATTTTTAAAGGAATTATGCGATTTGTGTACATTTCTTGTACTTCTGAAGACTATTTACATATATTCAAGATTAATATCCACACAAAATGGCACACCTTACCCTTTAAGGCACCTTACAATGTAACAACAGACACAAAACATACATTATTTTACCTTTTGATAAAATTTGAATCCATGCAGCTTGGAAAAGAAATTGAAAATTGTTAAAAAAAAAACCAGAAATTCACACAGAAAATGAATTATAATATTCTCTGAGTAAGAAATGAAAAGTATCCTACCTTATCAAAATGAGCTTGTCCTCGGATCTTATACTGATTATTATTAGACATATCTAATGTTTTTAATGCTGTTCGTAAATAGTCTAAATGTTGAGCTGTTACGGACATTAATCCTACAAAACACGACAGAATTGGCACTTATTGTAAAAAAGCAAAAGAGATTGCAGATCTTCTTTTATTGTAAAACTGAATGGAAAGATGGAGTTCTGAGGTTAAAATGTGTAGAGTCACAAGCATTGACTTAAGACCACCATAAGATAGTCACTTTGATATACAACCTTATTTTTTTAAAGCTGAAAACAAGCTCTCTGAGCTTTAAGGATATAATCATAGCTTTAACAGTGTACTAACCTGAAGTTAACTTATCAGTATCATCAAAGAGAACCCAACAACCAGACTGAACTAGACCTGATAAAAACTGTATCATCATTGGTAGAGTAAGATTCTCATTACATGTTACAGTAAACAGACATCGTCCTAACATCTACAATAAAATATAAAATCATAGTAACCATAACAACCAGACTGAACTAGACCTGATAAAAACTGTATCATCATTGGTAGTGTAAGATTCTCATTACATGTTACAGTAACCTGTAACATGTAACGAGAACTGTATCATCATTTTCACCACGAAACAGTTTACTGTTGTAAGGTTTGCCATCCGTTTGATCAATCATTCCTCAGAAATGTGAAACGCTAAGCTAATCAGTAATAGTATTCACAGCTCACTGTGATTTTTAGCCTTCAAATTTATGTGTGTCCAGAATTATCCGAGTTTGAAAGTTAAAAAGACGACTCGTCATTTCTTGAGATTACATAGAAAAGACATTGAAATAGAAAGTCAAATTTCTAGTTGGAGATAATTTTCAAGAAATTATGCCATTTTTGTACATTTCTCGTAACTATGGAGACTATATACCTAGCTTCAAGTCCCGTATCAACCCCCCAAAATAGCCAACGCGTTCCTTTAGAAAATGCTTACCTTTGCCAATTCCTGTATGGTTTGAGATTTTCCAGTTCCTGCAGGACCTATCAGGGTACCACACTGGAAGTTCTTCAATGACTGGCAGAGAGACAGGAATGCTCGCTCTGTCAGTGGTGTCAATGTTAAACAGTTAGATGGACCCAAGTATTCATAATCATACAAGAATACATTGCCTAGATTCTGGATATAACATGGGCTGAACTGGAAATCTGATGAAACTGTGGTTCTAGCTCTAGCCAGCTTAGGAATCTCCTCTGAAATTACAGAAAATGACGTGAATTGACATGAATTGACATGAAATAACAAGAAATGAAAAAAAAATGACATAAAATGAAGTGAAAGGAAATGACATGAATTGACAAGATATGATATGAAATGACATGAAATGACAGGAAATGATATGAAATGACAGGAATTGACATGAAATGACATGAAATGACATAAAATGAAGTGAAAGGAAATGACATGAATTGACAGGATATGACAAGAAATGACAGGAATTGACATAAAATGAAGTGAAATGACATGAATTGACAGGATATGATATGAAATGACAGGAAATGACATGAAATGATATGAAATGACAGGAATTGACATGAAATGACATAAAATGAAGTGAAATGACATGAATTGACAGGATATGACAAGAAATGACATGAAATGATATGAAATGACAGGATATGACAGGAATTGACATGAAATGACATAAAATGAAGTGAAATGACATGAATTGACAGGATATGACAAGAAATGACATGAAATGATATGAAATGAAAGGAAATGATATGAAATGACAGGAATTTACCTGAAATAACAGAAATGATATAAATTGAAATGAAATGACAGGAAATGATATAAATTGACATGAAATGACAGGAAATTAAACAACAGGAAACCAAACTTTCTGTTTTTTTATTAGCTTTTATTTTCAATATAGCCACTTCACTTAGAGCCAACAGACTGCCATTTTTTTTACCAATCGTACTTTAGTCTCAGAAACAGCAATTTTTTAGCTAAGAAAATCAGAAATAGTGATCACAGCTCACAACTCACAGTAGAAATTATCCGCGTTTGAAAGTTAAAAAGACGACTTGTCTTTTCTTGAGACATTGCCATATATAGAAATAGAAAAAGAAATTCCTAGTTTCAGATATCTTTGAAGGAATTGTGATTTTCGTGCGTTTTTAGTACTTCTGAAGACTGTTTACATATATTCAAGACTCAAATCAACCCCCTTAATATGGCGCATCCGTCCCTTTAAGTAAGTGAAAATTCAAATAGGTGATCCTTTCGGATTTCAGAGTTCTTATCTAAATTTGCAATAATGACTTACCAACACTACGTAAAGATGCTTTATGTACAAGTCTCTGTGACTGACTGCCGTCTGCTTCGGTTGTTTTAGCTCTCAAGACATTTCTAATATCCATTTTATGATGCATCAACTTTATCCAATCAAACGAGGACGTTGATACAGAACTATTTTCTATTAGATCTACAAAATATTTATGAAAATTTCAGATGCAGATCCCATTTTTGTTATTAAAGGGATTAAAAAGAGGTTTTCTTGAATTTTTATATGTATTGGGGATACTGATAGCATCAATTTACACCATTCCAATTTTCAAACAGACGTCTGTGGCTCCTGCAATTCCACAAAAACTGTGTTTGATGTCATCACTAATCATGCAGGGCCTTTTGTGATATAGAATATTTTGCGATTCGTGACGTCATCAAAAAAGTTTTTGTGGAATTGCAGGCCCCGCAGACGTCTGATTTAATATGGGAATGGTGTAAATTGATGCTATCGGTGTCTCTGATACACATAAAAAAATATAGAAACATCTTTAGAACATTAACAGCTTATGGTTCACTCAATCCAATGACAAATTCTTCCAGATGCAGCCAGTTGCTTGTAGTAGTTGAAAACCCAGAAGCTCTCAGATTCTAATAATTCTTACTATTTGTAACATCCCTACATGAAATAGTCTGGTTCATCAAGTCTGATAATACTTACTATTTGTAACATCCCTATATGAAATAATCTGGTTAATCAAGTCTGATATTACTTACTAATTGTAACATCCCTGTAAGAAATAGTCTGGTTAATCAAGTTTGATATTACTTACTATTTGTAACATCCCTGTATGAAATGGTTTGGTTAATCAAACAATAAAGTAGTGCCTGTAGTCTTTCTCTCATATCAGCTACTATATTACCATTGGTTGTTGCTTCTTTTAATATATCTATATATTGTTCCAGTTTAGACTCCATATTACTTCTATAATGTGAAGCAAATTTTACATTTATGAAGTTCTATGATCCAGAGAGGCCTTCCAGTTTTCTTTGTAGGTCCAAATTTTTTTTTTGCTCAAATTTGGGAAAACTATACACCAAAATCAAAAGAAATGTGTTCTTTAACGTATTTAAAAAAAATTGACCGAAACATCTGTTTTTATTCCAGACCAGTTGGACAGTTGTTTCTGGTGTAGAGACTGTAAAAATAAGCCCTGTTAAATGGGGACTTTCCGCATCTGTGTTGGTGCACGGGTATAAGTTACCTCTGGTCTGCATGTTTGGGGTGTGGAAAATCTCAATAAAACAGGGCCCTTGATTTTCTGACTCTATTCCAGCCGATGACTAGTAAAATATCCATCAGAGGCTGGAATAGAGACAGATGTTTCAGACAACTGCATCTACATCTTGTTAAGTGATTCATTAAAGATACAGTGAAAAAACCCGATGGAACAAACCTTAAAGATTTAAGATCTTCTGTTTCAGGACTTTCCAGAATTCGACTCATGCTTTTATTCCACATGATAGCCTCAGCTGTGATGACACATTGGACAGGGAACTGAAGTAGCCAGTGTCTGTAAGTCTGTTTAATTCCGATCTTCAGAGCTTCAGCTTCAGGTTTTTTATACTGAGACAGTTCTTCCAGGATATGTATCGGTTGTCTGGATCCTAAAACAAAGATAGGTAGCCATATCACCATGGAAACGGTAAGGATATTTTATTGTTTCATGGTTATAAATTGGTGAATTTACTCCTAAATCAAAGATATCTTGAGAGGAAAGGTGGCCATATCTCCATGGAAACAGGATATTTTATTATTTATTGGTTGTAAAGTGGTGGACTATGATTTTGGTAGGTAGATAGGTAGATGACATTCGCCTCCAATTATGATTTTGCTCCTAAAACGAAGATATCAGGACAGGTAGCCATATCTCCATGGCAACAGTTAGGAATATTTATTTTTTTATGGTTGTAATTAGGCGAAATTTGATTTTACTCCTAAAACAAAGATATCTTGCCAGGAAGGTAGCCATGGCAACAGTTAGGATATTTTATTGTTTTATGATTGTAATTAGGTGAACTTTGATTTTGCTCCTAAAATAAAGATATCTTGACAGGAATGGTAGCCATATTGCCATGGCATCAGTTAGGATATTTATTGTTTCATGGTTTTGGCGAACATTGATCTTGCTTCCTATCTCAATCTCCATCTTCATTAGCCCATAAGATGCAGAAAAACTCCATTCATTTCATTTCTGATCTCAATCTGACTTAATCAAGGACAAGAACTCTATCTTCATCCAAGCAGAGCTTTCTTATAATGCAAGAAAAAACCATGACCTACCTTCATCCATTCTGGCTTGAACACAAGCTTGCATCATCACTGTCAAAGTGTTCTTCATTATGCTCTCTAGAGTTTTCAACCATTTGGTAGCAGACGGGTTTGCTTCTAGCCTGGCCAACAACGGAACTTCTTCACCCAACATACCACATAGCGACACCACACACAGTTTTTCAGCTGAAATGATCAAATGACACTTGGATTGTCAGCAATTATCATTCGAAAGACAGAAAGATAGGAAAAAAAAAAATTTTTTTTTTCAAGATTAACAAATTCGGTTCTTGACCAAATCTCTTGGCATTATGAGTTCTCATATTATCGGTACCCATTCACAGCTAGGTTGACTGCAACAATATCAGAAGATGACTTATTCAAGGTGACCAGACTGACCTAATAATCCTATAGAACCCACAACCATCAAAATTCTAAAGCTCTTACCAACTATGCTGCAAGCGATTCTTAAAGACGTGATCATTCCCTTTAGTCATGCCATGGGTCAGTCAAGAAACATGATGGATGACAACCAATACTTACTGTTGAGAGCAAAGTCCAAAACTGTATTCATAGCACTAGTTCCTTGTGGTAAATCAAACTTTAACTCTTGTATTCCAGGGAAACATTTCCGTACAAATGGCAGCAAATTCTGTGGATTCCTGGAGATTCCAAGTAATTCTACCATGTCCTGATTACTGAGGAAAAATAGGCGGGTAAATTGCTGTCGGGTTTCCTCAAATATCATTTCAAAATCTTTCAAAATGTCTTCCTGAAAATAGAGTAAAAATTCTGAAATTTTACATTATGCTTTTTGACTCCCAATTGTGGTACATCATGCAGTGTGCAACAAGGGAAAGTTTGCCAGTACAAAGGACCTTATTCACAGCCATATAGGATCCAGAATTAGGCTCATAACACTAACAAACAAAGGTAGTATGGTGTCACTGCAATAAAATAGCCACTTGCCGTCTTTAAAGCCTCCTTCTCCATAACTCAGAAACTAAAACTAATCATATTTTACATCATTAATATCAGAATTGATCAAGCTATTTAATGATACTTTCAGATGAATTTTACCTTCACACATTTTTGAGAAGGGGCAGTTTTAAGTCAATTTAGAGGCTGTTGAACGAGTGTTTAGTGATGTCACATAGGTTATTCATTGATATGACATTGCCATCTTATCAATGGATGATGTAATTTGCGTTATGAACCTCGTTTTCAGTGTGAATAAGGTCTTATGGCGTTATTTTTTAAACTGTCGAAGAATCCTATTGTGAACATCATCAAGCAAACAGCATCTCAGTCTATGGTCCATTCCAAACAATTTGACGCTTTTTCCAACCTGCATCACTGACAAGGACCTGGTAGAATAATCAAAATGTAGTACAGTGAATCCTGCTAATGCGACCAGCTTTATTAAGGATTATTTCATTGAATGGTCTCTTAATACAATTTCTACAGTATCTTGATTAATTTTTACCTCTTCAGCTATAATATTAAGGAATAATGTACGTAGGTAATCTCCTTGTAATAGCCTGTATCCTTTACTACCTCTTTTATGATTTACAACAGACATCACTTTATTATCTTGTACAACAACTCTCATCCAATCCTGAAATATACAATACATAACAATGTAGAAACGTACAACATTTACAACAGAAATCATTGTAGCGATGAACAACACGTACAAGAAATATACAATGTACAATAGACATCACTGTAGAAGTGAAAACATTTACAACAGACATCATTGTAGCAATGTACAACATTTAAAACAGATATCAGTGAAGCAATATACAACATTTACAACAGATATCAGTGAAGCAATATACAACATTTAAAACAGATATCAGTGAAGCAATATACAACATTTACAACAGATATCAGTGAAGCAATATACAACAGATATCAGTGAAGCAATATACAACAGATATCAGTGAAGCAATGTACAAAATTTACAACAGATATCATGGTACCAATGTACAACATTTACAACAGATATCAGTGAAGCAATATACAACGTTTACAACAGATATCAGTGAAGCAATGTACAACATTTACAACAGATATATCATTGTAGCAATGTACAACATTTACAACAGATATATCATTGTAGCAATGTACAACATTGATAACAGATCAATGTAGCAATGTACAACATTTACAACAGATATATTATTGTAGCAATGTACAACATTTACAACAGATCAATGTAGCAATGTACAACATTTACAACAGACATCATTGTAGCAATGTACAACATTTACAACAGATATATCGTTGTAGCAATGTACAACATTGATAACAGTTCAATGTAGCAATGTACAACATTTACAACAGATATATTATTGTAGCAATGTACAACATTTACAACAGATCAATGTAGCAATGTACAACATTTACATTTAGACAACTACAAAGCAATTTACAAAAGCTGCGTCAAACACCACTAAATTTAGTTGACAAAAAAAGAAAAAGATTTACAATAGACATCTGTTTAGTAAAGTGTATGGATCAGGGCTGTTGATTTGGCTCTATATGCTGGACATGACCGACGGGCTGCTCAAATGACCGGTGGTCAATATCCTCTATCATACATTCAGCTATCAATCAAGTATAGTCTTATATGGAACTCAATATAATATTATCCTGGTGGGAGGAGCTAAGCTACTGGAGCACTGTACTGAATATTATTATCACAAAATGGCTGTCAGGAATTGATTGTTTACTTTTCAAAACGATCTTATCTAATGATTTGGGAATTGTTTAGGATATGTGTCATTCAGTGAAAATATGACAAAAATATTCTGGAAAATATATCATGGATTTACAGACATCACTTTAGTAAGAGTGGAAGAATTACAACAGACATCACTTTAATTAAAGTGAAAGATTACAACAGACATCTCTTTAGTAATGGAAGATTTACAACAGACATCACTTTAGTAATAGAAGACTTACAACAGACATCACTTTAGTAATGGAAGATTTACAACAGACATCACTTTAGTAATATAAGTTATACAACAGACATCACTTTAGTAATAGAAGATTTACAACAGACATCACTTTAGTAATGGAAGATTTACAACAGACATCACTTTAGTAATATAAGTTATACAACAGACATCACTTAAGTAATAGAAGATTTACAACAGACATCACTTTAGTAATATAAGATTTTACAACAGACATCACTTTCATAAAAGTGAAAGATGTACAACAGATATCCTTTTCGTAAAAGAGAAAGATTTACAACATACATCACTTTAGTAATAGAAGATTTACAACAGACATCAAAATTGTCCTGAACACTTATCAAAACATGACAAACGAATGCTAAAAATATACCTTTAGTTTGTTATGAACTTTCTCAAATTTTTCAGCTTGTTCCGGCCATTTCATGTATAAATGAGGTTTTTCAAAAATCTTTAACAGATACATCCACTGAAATATAAATTACAGTACCCACTAACAATTTTAACTTTTGACACTCTAGGGATGCTGATTCACATGCCAAATTGCATAGTGGAGGGAGGTGTGGAAGAGTGAGCATCTGAAAGGCGTCTTGAATATATGTAAATAGTCTTCAGAAGTACTATTAACGTACAAAAATCACATAATTCCTTTAAAAATATCTCAAACTAAGAATTTCTTTTTCTATAGATGTCTTTTCTATATATATATGGCAGTGTCTCAAGAAAAGATAACTCATCTTTTTAACTTTCAAACGCAAATAATTCTGGACACACATGGATTTGAAGGCTCAAATTTCAAAGGTGAGCTGTGAAGTCTATTACTGATTAGCCTAGTTAAAAAATTCCCATTTCTGAGAATAAGGTACGATTGGTAGAAAAAAAATTGCACACCTGTCCCTTTAAGTAACCTACCTTTTTCTGAGCAGTGTACCACAAATCTGTGATTTCTTCTATCTGTTGTAGGTTATCTTGCCAGATTTCTACTGTATTTTTAACATCACCTAGGTAGCTAGACTGGGCCATAGATTCTACTGTAATACGCGTATCCTGTGGAAATAGGAAAAAATATATATTATTGTCTTTGAATATCAAAAACTTATAGTTAATTAAACATTGCCCACACCAATGGGGGTACAGGGTGTGCATTTGCCCCCCAAGGAAAATGGTTTGCAAATTAAAACATATAATTTCTATATGTTTTGCCCCACAATATGTTTCAAAATGCACCAAAACAATTTCAAATTTCGCAAGAAAACCGTCTTATTGTCTGAAAAGTTTTATGAATTTTTTCGATATTTTTGAAGAGAATTGGAATATCAGCCTCAATAGTACTGATAGTCTTAGCGTGTCTTTGCGTTGATAAAAATATAATCTTGTAAGTTTACATTAAAAAGAAACACAATTCTGTCAAAGAAATTTCAACCCAAATAAGTCCTCTGTAAAAACAAATTTTGAAGACATAATGTGTGGTTATGTTTATATTTTTATCAACACAGACATTCTAAGACTAATAGTACTATTTTGAGGCTGATATTCCAATTTTATAAAAATAATAGAAAAAATTTAAAAAACTTTGTACTTTGCTCAGACAATAGAAACTCTATTAGAGGGTTGACTATGACACCTCCCCAGACTCATTCTAAATTCAATCTTGAGAGTTGTCCCCCATTAAGTCAGTCTGCCCCCTATTTGTACCCCCCTGTCTCGGGGGCCAGGCCTGTCAATGCCATAAAATGTGAGTTATTAAAATTTGTCCACAAACTAACCTCTAACTGGTATTTGAGCTTCTCCACCTCAATTATAATATACAGATCATCATTGGCAACATCTAAACTAATCAGTGAACTAGAACTAGCGTTAGCTTTCTCTTGCCGGAATTTTTCTATTTTACTCTGTCTTTTAGTTGAACTTTGAACTCTTTTATTACTAGCATCTGGAATTTATGAAAATTCATTAGTTTCAGGAATCAATTCAATTAATCACATACCATTGTTTCGAAAAGCTTTCAAAAGCAGACTAGTTGCTATCCAAACAGATACTAGGGTGAAGCTTCGGGGAAAGAGATTTTTTGAGTCATAAAATTGTAATTGGTATCATTGGTGCTTGATTGGAGAGTTCTGAACAGGTTATGTCTGTTCCAATTCTGCCTGGTATCCAAGCAGATATCGCAGGTGACCGCTTGAAAATATCTGAGATTGCCTGAATCTCTAACATAGTTATGAGATTTTGCCCCGAAAAACTTGCTTTCAGGGCAGCCCCATCTGCCCCCACTTTGGCTCTGCCACTGGTACAGACGTGAATGTAATATACAAGAGTTACTCACCCTTGGCATACAGACTATCAGGGATATGCTTGGCTAATTTGAATGCTTTCTCTTCCCAATTGGCAGTAATCTTATTCAATTTCAACTCTAGATCATACTCTGCCAGAGAACTGAGATAAACAGAGTTTATCAGCTCTGCATGCTCTGTCAAGTTACACACTATCAAATCATCCACAGTTAGAGAATGGCTGGGGTCATAGGGTTCATTCATTCCCAAAAATATCACCTTCCAATGTCGTTCCTGTAATTTGAACAGAAACAGTTATAAGCAGTATTCTACTTTAGGGTATGTGCAAACCATTTTCATTATAAAAAAAACGTCATATATATAATCATAAATATTTTTAAAATATGCTATTAAAATCTGTGTATATTCTTGATCAAACTGAACTTTTTTTTAAAAGGGTTAATCAAAAACGGAGAGTACTAATTGTTAATCAAGCAGCTTGACGTAGTTTTGGTGTTATTGTGTTATAATGGCTGAAAAAATTTGTTCGACCTACAAAAAAAAGGGAAATGTCCCTTTAAATTGTCAGTTTACAACCATTTTCACCATCCAATAGGTAAATGAAAATCATGTGATCCTCTTAAAGATGGGTTTCCTTATTTTCATTTATGAAAATGAAAATACTTATATGAATAGAAAGAAGAGGTTTTCAAATAACTTGGAAAAATACCAGTTTGTCTCACATGTCCATAATTAATTACTAGCAGAATTCCAATGAGTGACCGATCAAGAAAGGTCAAAAAGTCTCTTTTTGTTTATACAGACTGTACATACATGGACATTTATGATTGGTTAAAACTCGTAATTATATGCAACAAGAATAACGATATGATTAGGAATACATGATAATTCATTAGAAACACCAATTAATCAAATAGTTTTCTTATTTTGACACTATAAATGAGAAAACATATCTTTAACACTTTGAGCCCTGAGTGAAAATGAAATAAAACATCATTGGCTGCGCATGCAGTTTTAAATGCCTGACGAGAGATCAACTTCATAAAAAATTTTTTTTTGATGGAACCGCAAATGTGACTTTAATGTTTAAGAGAGATATTGATGATATGACTGAACTACAAAAATATCCAGCTGTCCAAATATATCTGGGTCTGGCACATCTGATTTATCCAAGTCAAAAATACCCATAAAGGGCCTAGTTTTTCTGTCTCTACACCAGACGACAACTTTCAACATAGCTATCCAATGCAGATGTTTTAGTCTAAAGCTTGAGATCTACTGAGAACAGGAAACATACCTTTAAAGCAACATTAGAGAGCTTATATAGCAATGGTAAACTCTTTTTAAACTCTGTTAATGTTTTGTACCAGTGAGTTAATACCAGATCACCATCATCAAGATGATCTTTCAACTGACTAGCTGCTCCAATCCATTCTGTTACCTTTGCTAGAGCCTTCTTTATATTGATCTGAAATTATAACCACAATTCTGTTGGTTACTTCTTACAATTAGAGATTGGATTATTTAAAGCAATACTACCTCTTAGAATGGGCATAAAATTTAAAGTTTCAAACTTGGTGTATATATTCTTCATTTGGACTTACCAGGTGTCATGACTAAAGAATAGAATCTCTATATAAGACGATATATCTATTAAACTAAATAATTATTGAAATACACTTCTTAGCAAGTTTCAAAATTACTAAGTTTTATGAATTATTACTTAGTTTTATAGATTTATTAGATTATAGAGGGATTCTGTTGTATAGTTCTTAGGTTTTGCTGTCCAACAATGCATACTTGATATTTAGACACAGATTCTGCATGATGCCATGTGATTAGTTGAAATGAACGTTAACAGTATGCGACCTAAGTATAAATCTTTTAGATTACCATGGAGATAAAAAAAAAACTAACAAAACATAACGAAACAATCATATAATTTTAATTTGGACAAGACTGGACTAACATACCTTTTTAAAGAGGGTCTGTTTCCAATCTTTGATTGAATTAGTAGAAACTTCTACATATTTCCACAGTTCACCACGTATGTCCATCTTGGCTGTCATCTCATTGAGGAACTTGAGATCATACGGCTCTCCACAGATGGCTTCTCTCCATTTACTAGCATCTTGTAATTGTATCTGGACCGAGAAAAACTTTTCTCTTATCTGGAAAAAGGTTTGAAAATCATTGAAAAACTATTTTAAAATTTTGACATTCTAAAAATTTTATGTGTTGAACAAGAAAAGTCTGATAATTTTCACCATTCCAATTTGCAATCAGACGTCTATGGTTCATGCAACTTCAATTAAGCGTTTTATGACGTTAATTGTGAAAGGCCTTATGTGATAAAGCATATTTTGTGGTATTTTTTGGTCATCCTTAGAATTAGAATATCTTTAATATGAGATATTGAAGAAATAAAAAGTCGTAACTTACAGCTTTCATTTCCATGAGAATGAAACAAGGATTTTGATGAGGATCTAGGAATATTCCAGTTGTAGCTTTCTCACATAGTTCATAGGCTTCTTTTTCCAATCTCTATTAAAACAATAAAATATTATTATACCATTAGCCAAGATTCAAATACTTTCTGCCTAAAATAAATTAGCTGGAGATCATATCTTTCTGAATGGGACAGGTTTGCCATTTTAGGAGGTTGATTTGAGTCTTGAATATATGTAAATAGTGTTCAGAATTATTAGAAATGTATGAAAATTGCAGAATTCTTTCAAAAACATCTCAAATTAAGAATTTCTTTTCCTATTTCTATATATGTTTTTTCTTTATATGACTTGTCTTTTTCACTTTCAAATGCTGGTTTTGAAGGTTTAAATTTTCACGAACACTATGTGCCGATTGGCTTAGCTAAAAAATTCCAGTTTCTGAGAATAAGGTATGATTGGTGAAAAAAAAATGATGCATCTGTCCCTTTAACTTTGCTTTTTAAGTCTAAAAATACTTGATTATTTTCAGAACAACAATTTTTTTTGTCAAATTTTTTCTTTTCATGTGAATTTTGAAAATCTACAAAAACTTGGCTTACTTCAATATCAAATGTCCTAATAATTCAAAATAAGAGCAGCACATTTTTCCAATCAGACATGACCGTCAAAGAAGACAAATCAACACTCCTGGTCCAAAAGGAGAGCATTACTTATAATTTTAAATTCTGTCATTTGCAATTCAAACAAAATGAAAAAAGTAATGTGTTAAATTCTATGAGTATAAAAGTTTCTATGTTATTGCTATACAAATTTTGTATGTTATTACTAAAATTAACTCAAAATGCCTGGACTGATGAAACTTCCTCTCTAAAATACCAATATTCTACATTCCAATGCCTTGTTTTACAAATTCTACTCCATATCCCCTCTTGATATATAAAACCCCCTACTCTACATCCCAAAGCCTTCCACCAAGCCTTGTAAAATTTTATCACTCTACATCCAAAACCTTCCCATGCCTTGTAAAGTTCTATCACTCTACATCCCAAAACCCTCCCAAGCCTTGTAAAATTTTATCACTCTACATTCCAAAGCCTTGTAAAATTTTACTACTCTACATTCCCAAGCCTTGTAAAATGTTATCACTCTACATCCCAAAGCCTTGTAAAATTTTATCTCTCTACATTGCAAAAGCCTTGTAAAATTTTACTACTCTACATCTCCAAGCCTTGTAAAATATTATCACTCTACATTCCCAAAAGCCTTGTAAAATTTTATCATTATACATTCCCAAGCCTTGTGAAATTTTATCACTCTACATCCCCAAGCCTTGTGAAATTTCATCACTCTACATTCCAAAGCCTTGTAAAATTTTATCACTCTACATTCCAAAGCCTTGTAAAATTTTATCACTCTACATTCCAAAGCCTTGTAAAATTTTATCTTTCTACATTCCCAAGTCTTGTAAAATTTTATCATTCTACATTCCCAAGCCTTGTGAAATTTTATCACTCTACATCCCCAAGCCTTGTGAAATTTTATCACTCTACATTCCAAAGCCTTGTACAATTTTACTACTCTACATTCCCAAGCTTGTAAAATTTTATCACTCTACATTCCAAAGCCTAGTAAAATTTTATCACTCTACATCCCAAAAGACTTGTAAAATTTTATCATTCTACATTCCCAAGCCTTGTAAAATTTTATCACTCTACATTCCAAAGCCTTGTAAAATTTCACTACTCTACATTCCCAAGCCTTGTAAAATGTTATCACTCTACATCCGAAAGCCTTGTAAAATTTTATCTCTCTTCATTCCAAAAGCCTTGTAAAATTTTACTACTCTACATCTCCAAGCCTTGTAAAATATTATCACTCTACATTCCCAAAAGCATTGTAAAATTTTATCATTCTACATTCCCAAGCCTTGTAAAATTTTATCATTATACATTCCCAAGCCTTGTGAAATTTTATCACTCTACATCCCCAAGCCTTGTGAAATTTTATCATTCTACATTCCAAAGCCTTGTAAAATTTTATCATTCTACATTCCCAAGCCTTGTGAAATTTTATCACTCTACATTCCAAAGCCTTGTTACTACTCTACATTCCCAAGCCTTGTAAAATTTTATCACTCTACATTCCAAAGCCTAGTAAAATTTTATCACTCTACATCCCAAAAGACTTGTAAAATTTTATCACTCTACATCCCAAAAGACTTGTAAAATTTTATCACTCTACATTACAAAGCCTTGTAAAATTTTATCACTCTACATCCCCAATATAGCTGAATTAGAAATAAATTCTACAAAAAAAATCTACAATTTTTCTACATGATAAATATACCATAAATAAGCTTGGTTCTTCTTGATGGCGTTTTAATCCAAGTCTTTCGTACCTCTAAATAATTAAATCAATTTTTTTAAAAAATAAAGTGTTTTCCCCTTTTGGGTCCTTTATCACTTTTAAAGTGGGGTCTAATATGTCAAAATATTGCTTCAAAAACAGTCTAATTAAAATTACACCAAACTTTCGGTTTTTTTTTTATGTTTAATATGGCCACTTCAATTAGCTTGTCTATAGACCCTTACTGAAGTGGCTAAATTAAAAAAAAAAAAACATGCTACTAAAAACAGAACAAAATTTTTGGTCTAATTTTAATTGAAATAAAAAATTTTTTTTTCCATGGGTCTTTTTTACCTTAGCCTCTACAGACAAACAGCCTTAAATGTCCATTGTGGTCCAAATCTAAATTGTTAAGGGCTCATTGACATTCTTGCCATATGGGTTATAATAATTAAACAGGTGTTCTTAATTTTTTTATGTATATCGGGGACACTGATAGCATCAATTTGTATCATTCCAATTTTCAATCAGATATCTGTGGTTCCTGCAATTCCACCAACTAAGTGTTTGATGATGTCACAAACCTCAAAATATACTTTTTCACAAAAGTCCTTTGGAGATTAGTGACGTCATCAAACTAGTTTTAGTGGAATTAGACGTCTGATTGAAAATTCGAATGGTGCAGTTTGAAGCTAATAGTGTCCCTGATACACATACAAAACTTAGAAAACCTCTTTACAATCTCTTTAACATCTTAGCAGCTAAGCATTGATGAAGGTTATTTTTAACAAAAATCAAATTCTGTAAAAATATTAGAATCTGTTTCTTGCATCTTGGCTGATTTGTTTGGTCAGGCAGGCATAAATTGATCTGGTTGTATCTCATGATGTGGACCTAGTGGCGGGTGTCATGCGCCAAGCAGACCATGCTTACTCTTTTCAAAACACCTGATTGTACTTCTCTTCGGAGGAGTCCAATACTATCCAACTTTTACTCCCGATTTTGCCATACTGGATGAGATTTTGATTATCTGAATTGTTAACAAAATTTCAGATGGTTACATTGAACGTAGGAGTTGTTAATTTTCAAATTTCCTCAAAAAAAAAAAAGCTTCAGACAACAATAATTTCCTACCTGATAATTATCCTCTAATAACTGAGTCATTAAAGGTGTTTGTGTGTTGACGAACTCTGATGCATCTTGCATCTGCATGAGAAAAGCTTCCCATGATGCCCAGACATTTTCTTCATATTTTTCTTCTTCTGGAGTCAGCTGTCGGTAACTCATTCGAATCACCTGTCAATGAAATGGTGTTTTACAACCTAGGGTCGCTCGATCGATTGGTGAGTTCTGCACATTCATGATTTATGGAACCAACTGAACGTTCAATAAAACAAGTTAGAACAGCCTTCAGAACATGTTCCTCATGTTTCGAAAAAAATGGTAGGTGCAAACAGAATTCAAAATGGCGGAAAAGGAAAAAGATGGGAAAATTTTGAATGTGACATATCCCCTCTCATACTGTTCAATTAGGGACAGAATTAAAACAGACAAAACCTGATCAGAACTCTCAGGGATGGAATCAACAGAACGTTCAAAATAAAATTTGTAACAGAAATCAGAACGCTTTCCTCATGAGCCGAAAGAATAGTTGGTGCTGACAGAATGCAGAAAAGGAAATAAATAGGAAAATTCTGAATGCTTTCATACCTGTCAATTGAGGACAGAATTGGAATAGATGGAACCTGTTCAGAACTCTCATGGGGAGGTGTCATTTGAAAGACAAAACATTGATGAAAAATGATGACTTCAAGATGAGTTCCCTTATTTTCATTTATGAAAATGAAAATGCTAATTCTTTAATGAATAGAAAGTAGAGGTGTTGTAATGACTTGGGAAAATACCAGTTTGTCTCACATGTCCATAATTAATTCATAATTAGATAAATTAGAAGAGAATTACCAGCAGAATTCCAATAAGCGACCAATCAAGAATGGTCAAAAAGTCTTTTTTTTGTTTATCCAGACTGTATATACAAGGACATTTATGATTGGTTAAAACTCGTAATTATATGCAATAAGAACATAATGATATGATTAAGAATACATGATAATTCACTAGAAACACCAATTAATCAAATAGTTTGCTTAATTTGACACTAAATATAAAGGGAAACCATCTTTAATGCATTACTGGAAAAAATGATGAAATTACCTCAAATAGAGATTTAATATATTCTACTCTCTGTTGATATTGTGGTGTATTTTTCTTATATTGAGAATAATTCTTGGCAAAAATAGCAAAAGCACTGACGATTGGTCTCTTATCTTTCATATTCTGTAAAGAAAAATATAAAAAAAAGTATTGAGACATCCATTATTGGTAATGTTAAAAGTTACTCAAATAATGTTTTAAAATGGTTGTAAAAGATTTTTTAAATTTTGTATGTGTATTGGGGGCACTGATAGCATCAATTAACACCATTCAAATTTTCAACCAGACGTCTGTGGTTCCTACAATTCCACTATAACTTAGTATTTGATGACGTCACTAATCATGAAGGGACCTTAAATGATAAAGCATATTTTGCAATTCAAACACTTAGTTTAAGTAGAATTGAAACCACAAACGTCTGAGTGTTTGATGACTAACTAATTGCAAAATATGCTTTATAACACAAGGCCTTTCAAACACTTAGTTTTAAACGAATTGCAGGAACCACAAACAGCTGATTGAAAATTGGAATGGTACAAATTGAAGCTATCAGTGTCCCTGATACACAGAACTTTTTTTTTTCTTTTAGAAAATTAGCCTAAATTATGACCTCTAATGATTGGGTTACTGAACACCATGCAGGGTGCAATGAGGGAAATTTTGACAGCATAAGCCTTCTCTTTTTCAATTTGCAAATATCAATGGATCTTAAATGTGCACAGCCTATATATAGCACACGGGGCCTCTGTCTATTTCTTTTTCCATGTCAGACCGCAGTGGCTCAACTAGATGATTGGAGGCTCTGTAGACTTAAGTGAGTGAATTAAGAATGAATTTTATACATTCTCTCCTGTATCTCTCTGTAAGTCAGTTTAATGTCTGTTAATGGAAGATTTAAATGAAATGAAATGGAGTCTTACGTCCTACTATTCTGCACCATCTGGGCTAATGAAGACGTGCAAGAATGCAATGAGGAAAATTTTGCCAGGACAGCAGCATTAGCCTTTTCTTTTTCCATTTCCATCTGTCCAGGCATCTTTAACGTTCACAGCCTGTATCACACAGGGCCTTGGTTTATTGTCCCATCCGAACAACTAGACATTTTTCCATGACAGTAGGAAACCTGGTTGAAAAATCCGAAGGTATCATCTCAATCTATGTCGGGATTGACCCTGGACCTTCTGGTTAGCGAGCAAGCGTCTAACTCACTGAACCACCGTGGCTGCAGGAGGATTTAAATTTTTCATAATGCACTTTACCTTTAAGACGATTTTCATTTCTTCACAGAAGACCTTGGACATAGATCTGGCCTCTTCAGCAATGAAGGTAATAAGTTCTTGATATATATCATTAAGTCGTGGTAACAGTCCATCATGTATAGCTGAACAATCAATCAGAAACAGGCCATTCTCTGTGGTAAAACCAACATCAAAGTTTCGAATTTTTTCAGACCACATTCTTAGTTCTGTTAGTTTTTGCTGGAATAAATGAATTTTGATTGATCAATCAGAAGCATACCATTTGTAAATCCAAGATCAAGGACACTGATAGCATCAATTTACACCATTCCAATTGACTCTATCTTCCCGATATGGTGACATTTAGCAAAATATATCACAGTCTCTCTTCCAGTCATTACTGGTATCTCTTCCTTTAATGGAAATATAACGATCATTTACAGGGAATGTTAAGAGGTTTTCTAAACTCATTATGTGTATCGGGACACTGTTAGCATCAATTTGGACCATTCCAATTTTTAATCAGATATCTGTGGTTCCTGCAATTCCACAAAAACTACATGTTTGATGACGTCACTAATCGCATAATATGCTTTGTCACATAAGGTGATAACTGATAAGTGATTTATTAAACACTTAGTTTTAGTGGAATTGCAGGAACCTTTTTACAATCCCTTTAAAATGACTAAACCCTTGGTGAGACCCTGTGGTTCAGAGGGAAGTCTGGTTGAAAATAAAAGGGCATCTTTGATTGGGATACCAATCGCAATCTTACCTCTATGGTGAAAGCAGCAGCCCCTTTGAATTCTTTCACAGATTTGTCGTTCCATTTCCGACAAAAATGGCTGATTTCATTCAACCATTCATTTGACTGACAATAATGATCAATTTCATCATAGGCTGCCTTCAGTAGATCAGTCTGAACTTTAATGGCTTCTAGATATTCTCCACTGAAAATAAGATGAATGGAGTCTTTCTTTTCTGCACCATATTAGACAATGAAGACGGGCAACGTCATGCAGGGTGCAATGAGGACAATTTTGCTAGGACAGCAGCATTAGCCTGCTCTTTTTCAATTTCATGCAATTTTAAGAAATGAAATGAATGGAGTTTTACATCCTAATTTTCTACACCATATGGGCTAATGAAGACAGGCAAAGCCATGCAGTGTGCATTGAGGGAAATTTTGCCAGGACAGCAGCATTATACGACTCTTTTCCGAATTCCAACTGTTGAAGAATTTTAAATGTGCACAGCCTGTAGCACACTGGGCCATGGTTTATTGTCCCATCCGAACGACTAGACATCACTGACAGGGGAAAACCGGGTTGAAAAATCAGAAGGTATTATCTCGACCTATGTTGGGAATGAACCCTGGACCCTTAGTGGGCAATGAGGGTCATTGCCTAATTGGTTTGATTTTATGATAAGTTCAGATAAAAATTTTAATAAAAAACGCACAAAAACCAAAAACGGTTCTTACTCAAGTTGCAGTTTTTCTTGAAGACTTGCTCGTATTATAGGTTCATACTGACCCATGAAGCCTTCTCCTTCCACTATCAATATCTCTTCACCATCCTTCAGTACTAGATCTGGTGTAGCCACTCCAAGCTCATCATCTAACTTATTGGGTGTAACTATGAAAAAATATCATTATATACATGTGTAACTTAACGGGACAGATGCAGGGTTGATTTGAATTTTGAATATATGTAAATAGTCTTCAGAAGTATTAGAAATGTACGAAAATCGCATAATTCCTTCAAAATTATCTCAAACTAGGAATTGCTTTTCCTATTTCTATAGATGTCTTTTCTATATATGGCAATGTCTCAAAGAAAGATGACTCTTCCTTTTTAAATTTAAAATACCGATTCTTGACACACATTGATTTGACGGTGAGCTGTGAACAATATTACTAATTGGCTTAGATAAAAAAATTCCTGTTTCTGATAAACAAAAAATGGTGCATCTGTCCCTTTAAACAAAATACTGGGGATAGTTTCGGAAAAGCTGAGGATGATTTTAGTGTTCCAGTCGTCTGATTTGTCAAACATGAAAATAAATCTTAAATCAAGCTTAATCTTAAATCAAAGTACTGTTAGGCTTACAATTTTTATATTATTTCAGTTAAAACTATTCTAAAACTGGCCCTAGTTTATTTAACTAGCTCTATTATTCAAGCAAGCTAGAAGTAACAGGCAAACAAGTAAAACCGATACCTTGTTTTGGTAAATCAGGTCCGACGTAACTACTGGATGTTTTATTGCTGACAGGACGAGCTGTTTCTCCTTTCTGGGAAGCTTTTTCAGATGTCGATGTTCTTGATGTATCTGGTTTCACTGAACCACCAAATGAGGTGACAGACGTTTTCTTACTCTCAATGTGTAACATGCTGAATAACAACCTAAAAAACAGCAAACCAAGTTAGTACGATATTGGTAGGGTTCTTTCCCACACTAATAAACAAAACTTGTACAACCAAGTAACAAAATTTGTACAACCAAGTAACAAAACAGGGTATAACCAAGTAACAACACAGGGTATAACCAAGTAACAACACATGTACAGTCACGTAATAAAACATGTACAACCAAGTAACAACACATGTACAACCAAATAACAACACATGTACAACCAAATAACAACACATGTACAACCAAATAACAACACATGTACAGTATACACAATTTGTGTTCAATGATTCCTCGATTGCAGAGCTCTGAACAGGTTCCGTCAGTTCCAATCTTGCCCTCAATTGAACAGTAGAGAAGCGGAATAAGTCGCATCTTAAATTGTACTATTTCTTTCTCTGCCATTTTGAATTCTGTCTACACCTACAATTTTTTTGGAGCACGTAGAACACATTTCTGAACTCTGTTCCAACTTGTTTTATTGAACGTCCACTTGATTCCATACATCAAGAGCGTGCAGAATTCACCGATCAAGCGAACCTCTAATGAACTAAGAATTTCTTACTTGGATTCAGACTGTGAAATATCAGCAGATTTACCGTCATCGGGAACATCTTGGTCTTGTTGACCTGAACCATCCATAGATTGAGCTTTAGCACACAGTACCACAGGAATCCCTTTTAAGGTTCTGCTTAACACTCTCTGAAATCTTTCTTTGGATGGTGATATTGTCAGACAATCTGGAATTCAGAAACGTAAAACACATAGCAGGACTTTGCAATTAATATAATCTTTCGAATCTATAATCACATCAGACAAAATTATTTTACAATTTAAAGGGACAGTTTTGCCATTTTGGGGGTTGAATTTAGTCTTGAATTTATGTAAATAGTCTTCAGAAGTACTAGAAATGTATGAAAATCGCAGAATTCCTTTAAAATACTTCAAACTAGGAGTTTTACTCATTATTTCTATAGATGTCTTTTTTATATATCACAGACTATCTTAAATTGATGAGTCGTCATTTTAACATTCAAAAGCATCTAGACACACATGGATATGAAGGCTCAAATTTCGACTAGTAGTACATACCATGTTTATTGAAGACTAGGTTGGTTTTAAAGAAACCATCTCGACTAGAATTAGATTCTGTTAAAGACAAGACATGGTGGACAAACTTGAGAACATGGTTTTTGGTAATATCGAACATATGTTCGATTATCATCATGTCCATCAGACGTACAAAATCTCCCAATTGTCTGAAACGAAACAAAAAAAAATCATTTTTATTCATTGTGTAACATTTACATTTTATTGTCACATGCTACAGTGAACCCATATAAAAATTTGCATTAATTTACCGATGAAATACAAATTTCCTTAATGATCACTGATGATAAAAATAATCGTGATGTATTGGCACAATTAATTCTTAGCCCCCTTTAATAACAAATGACACAGAATCCTTGTGTGTATAAGAAATTGTGTTATGTTTTTTTTTTTCCAAGTATGATTTTCACATCAAAATTGTAAAAATTTATTTCCAACTTTAAAAAATTGAGATTTTTTTCACAATTCCTTACTTCTAAACGTTCTCAAGTGCTAAATAGTGACAACATTGTTAGTAATTTTACAAATTTCTATTATTTTTTCTCTTTCCTTCTCTAATAAATACATCGTGATAATTATCACAATAAATTGTATGGTTGGATGAGTATTGTATAGTATATCAAATAGCAACTTCAAGAATCCTTGCAGCCCTTGTAGTAATGCCTTAATCAACTTATTAATTGACTGTCAGTGTTTTGTGGCTTGTGACTGGGGTGTTTACTGTTTGAAGTCGGGTAATTTCATTTTTATTCATTTGGATCATCACAGGTTTTGATTTTAGTCTAGAATATATGTAAACAGTCTTCAGAAGTACTAGAATGTTCGAACATTGCATATTTCCTTTAAAAATATCTCAAACTAGGAATTTCACTTTCTATTTCTATATATATATATGTCTTTTCTATATATGGAAGAGTCTCTAGAAATTATTGTAAACGTGGATAATTCTGGACAAACACGGATTTGAAGGCTCACTTTTGATGGTGAGCTGTGAATACTATAACTGATTTGGATTAGCTAAAAAATTCACGTTTCTGAGACTAAGATGAGATTCGTCAAACTGATGGAGGACCTGTCCCTTAAAAGTTAAAGACTAAAAAATATAATACCAGAGCAATATATTGATTTCTAAAGAAGATCTCGCTTTACATCAGTAAAATCTTACAACTTACCCAGTTTCTCTTCTAGCATTTTTCAAGTTGTCTTCTCTTAGTTCCTTTTTAACACGTTGAAGATGCATGGAATCCTTGGTGCTTAAAAATCAGAAATACTTTTCAACAAAGAATCAAAAATTTCGTTTTATAAGGATAAAAAACTTGTCCAACAAAATATATAAATTTTAGGAGAAAAAGTAAGCAAGAGTTATGTTCCACCAGAGGGCATTGCTAGAATTAATTGCATTATAGGTAATCAATGCACTTTGTAGATTGCCTCCATTTTTTCCATCAGTTTACCTAATTTAAAGTTGTTTAAGACCAATAAGAAATGGGGGCAATAAATTACATTTGTTTAAATATTCCTATAATTAAACTAAATTTTGTCCAAAGACAGCTTTTTGCCTTTTTTGATGCCTTGGACCAATGGTGATAATACCGTAGAATTTTTCAACCCGGTTTCCCCTTGTCAGTGATGTAGATAAGAGGGGCTGACAAGGAAAAAGTGTCTGGTTGTTCTTATGGGAGAATAAACCAAGGCCCTGTGTGCCACAGGCACACGAGGAGGCAAAAATCTCCAATCCGTTGTTTTCCACTATGTTTATAATCACGAACAGATCATGCAATTGAAAGGAAAATGAATCTGATTGGATGATGACGCTCAGTCTTGCAGATGATAAAATACAATCAGCGACAAATATCAAACTGGTTAGATATTATAAATCCTGTTGGCAACGTGATAATCTTGTTGTGGAAGAGTGTAAAAGCATTTACTCAAAATTCGGCGACAAAAATCACCGACCAAGACTGATCGTGTGCCGGCACTACAACTGACTTACAATAATGATTTCTTCTGTACTTGATCTTCACAATATCGTAATTTCTTAAAAGATTCTTCAGCTGTAAATTCTGCTACAGTTTTACAAAACCTATAAAAAGGATATGTATGTATCACCAGGCCCGTAGCTAGATGGGTGCCAGGGGGGGCCTGGTAAAATAGGTTAGTCGGAAAAACATCTGCCTCTATTCAAGAAAGCATTGGCCATGGAATTAGAAATTTGATCTTACTTGAAGAACCTTTCCAGTATTTTATCAGCTTGAATATTTTTATAGTTGACAGCATTTTCATATTCTCCTAAACTATATGTTTTACTGGAATAGAACAAAATAAGATGTTTTCACTGCTAAAATACACCTGATTTAGCTAATAAAGGTTGGTAATGGCAGTCAGTCTAATTAAAATTAGATCAAACTTTCGTTCCATGTTTGCATTAGCTTTCATTTTTAATATAGCCACTTCAGTTAGGGTCTAACCATAGCCCTCTTGAACTTTCGTCAAATTAACCGTTTGACCTAACTTGATGATGTCTGCTTTAACCAATCAAATTTCTACCCTCTCTAGCACTGGCATTTTGTGACACAGTGTTTATCAGGTTAGGTCCGAAGGTTTATTTGACGAATGTTCAAGAGCGCTGTCATTAGACCCTAACTAAAGTGGCTATATTAAAAATAAAAGCTAATGAAAAAAAAAGCAATAAGGGAAGTTTTCCAGAGCAGCAGGACTTTTTTTTTTTTTGATTTTAGATTGTAGTTTGTAAATAAAACATGCACAGACTATAGAACATAGGGACTAGCTTTATTGGCTAAACAATTCAGAGCTTTTCTATGTCAGCCCCTCTAACCTGCATCAGTGATAAGTTGATACCTTCAGATATCTCTTAGAATGGACATAAAAGTCTCAAATTTGATCAACAAAGTGTATATATTATCAGTAAGACTTACTAGGTACCATGACTAAAGAATAGAATCTCTATATAACACGATATATCCATTAAACTAAATAATTATTGAAAAACACTTCTTAGCATGTTTCAAAATTACTTAGTTTAATGGATTATTACTTAGTTTTATAGATTTATTAGATTATAGAGAGATTCTGTTGTATAGTTATGACACCAGGTAAATTCACTGATGAACAAAGACTCATTTTAATCAAGTTTAACAATTTGAATTTTTTGGTCATCATAAGAGGTAGTATAATTTTAAATAAATAAGGCACAATGTAATAATTACAGAGTAAAATTAAAAACTCTAAGCAAAACTTGAAATAATTTCAATTTGTTTTTATTTTAACAGTCTTTATAATGAAAGCACTTTACTTACTCTAGTTCAAACGGCAGGAAGTTGACCAACAATAATTCTTTTAACAATCTGTAAAAATAATCATATAGGAAAACCTTTGTATATCAAAACATCCAAATCCATATCCAAAAATTTAATGGGTTGAAATACCAGAAAAAGGTGTCACACTTAATTGCAAAGTTTTGGTCGCCGATTTTTGTCGCTGATTGGAATGTTGAGTAAAATCTCACGTGTGCCCATGCTTCCACAACAAGATTTATAATATTAAACAAGTTTGATATTTGTCGCAAAATGTTTTATTGTCTGCAAAACAGAGATTCATCATCCAATCAGATGCATTTTCCTTTCTTTTGCACGATCCACATGTGATTATCGACATAGTGGACAACAGCCGACTGGAAATTTGTTGTCTCCTTGTGTGCCCGCAGCCAGTCGGCAAAACTCATTAACAAGACTCTTGTCGGCACAAAAATGGCCAAAGACAGTTTATGTGCCAGCACCATTAGGAGTTCACAGGCAAACTGTACTTCCACTAATGCCCACAGCTAGAGGGGGGCCATGTGGGAGGTTGGCCAAGCCCACTCCTAAGAAAAATTTAGATGACTTAAATGACTTGTTTAGTTGCTATAGTTAAGCCCACCTTCAAACGCTGGGCTAGCTACAGACCTACTTCCACTATAGACATCAAAATTAATCAATTAGAGCACAAGAAGTTGAGAAAGACCCTTACCTTGATACTTGAAGCAAAGCAGCACCAAAAGCAGGAACGGCCTTGAGCAGACATTTTGACAATATTTCCTTCTTACGCAGAAAATTCAAAAATAATTTATTAGAACGCCATCTGAAATGAATTTAGAAGAAATTAGTTATTAACTAGGCATAATATGAAATTCAACTAAGGGACCGCTCGATTGGTCAGTTCTGCACATTTGGGATTTAGGGAATCAACAAGTTGGAACAGAGTGCAGAATGTGTTCCATGTGTGCTATAAAATTAGTAGGTGCTGACAGAATTCAAAATGGTGGATAAGGAATTAGATGGGATTATTTTGAATGTGACATATTTTGCTTCTGTACTGTTTGATTGAGGCCAGATTGGAACAGACGGAACCTGTTCAGAGCTCTCCAATCGAGCGCCGCCCTTGTGATCAAACAGTATTGGATTGTACACTAGTAATTACAGCCTATCGTAGCTCAATGGCTATGATTGGCTGTATTCACTAGTGCTCAATCAAATCAAATCGCTACGTTTACAAACATCTGTGATACAATAAAGGTGGTAATTGCAGTCAAGGTATGGAATGAAATGAATGAAGGTTTACTTTTTACTTTCTGCTAGCAGTCAAGGTATAAGACACATGTCGTGAACTGAATTGAATTGTGTTTTTTTAAATTTTGATTCTTACCTTTTAAATGACTTCAACACAAGATAGTTTTTAAAGAAAGGTATGGTGGAAACTGCTGTCCATAAAACAGCCTCTTTCTGCCATTCACCCAGTGTCATGCTCTCACTGTCTTGATTGGGGTAAACATGTAAAACGCCAAACGTACAAAATACATAATGTTCACTTTCTGCCTAAAAATATACGTATGGTTTGAATTATTGCTGCAATTAAAGGGACAGATTCGCCATTTCCGAGGGTTGATTTGAGTCTTGAATATATGTAAATAGTTTTCAGAAGTACTAGAAATGCAAGAAAATCACATAATTCCTTCACAAATATCTCAAACTAGGAATTTCTTTTTCTATATCTTTTCTATATATGGCAGTGTCTCGAAAAATGACGAGCGGTCAGTTAACATTCAATTGTGGATAATTCTGGACATACATGGATAGTTACCTTATTTTGAGGACATGAGATAAGTTCATAGGGTCTGTAATATCGTGACGGTGCCAAATTAAAATAAATTGACTCTATCTTCCCGATATGGTGACATTTAGCAAAATATATCACAGCCTCTCTTCCAGTCATTACTGGTATCTCTTCCTTTAATGGAAATATAACGATCATTTAAAGGGAATGTTAAGACTTTTTATGTGTATCAGGGACGCTGATAGAATCAATTTACACATTAGACGTCTGTGGTTCCTTCAATTCCATTTTTGTCTTGCAGACAATAAAACAATAAAACTGGTTTGATATTATTAATCCTGTTGGCAATGCAATATTCTTGTTGTGAAAGCTTGTTTGAGATTTCACTCAAGATTTGCATTGGTGACAAAAATCAGCAACAAAGACTGTAAATGTGCCTGCAGCATTAGTTTTTAAGATATAGCCATCCCTCGCTTAGTTATACTGGCAGCTGTCAGAAATGATAAAACAGTCTTTAAAAAAGCCGTTCATCGAAAGATCTTCAAATTCGAACTTGACCAAGATCTCATCAGTATAAATGAATCACACCAAATTTCATTAAAATCAGTTGAAAACTGTAGTCTCTATTGTGTTCACAAACAAATTTTGACGCGTGTTTCCTAAGTCAAGGGCAATAACTCAAAAACCGTTCATCGAAGGATCGTCAATTTCAAACTTGAACAAGATCTCATAAATATCAATGATCACATCAAATTTAATTAAAATCAGTTAAAAAGTGTAGTCTCTAGTGTGTTCACAAGAAATGTTGACAGACCAACGGACAGGGACAAGGGCGACGGCAATATACATCCACATTAAAAAAATAATATATAAAAATAATTGAAAGAAAAAACATATCAGACCATACCTGAGCAGTGGCAGCAATATTGGGGTTACAGGGGAGGCACTTGCACTGCCAATTGTACCAACACTTAATTTTCAACAAATCTAAATGTCTACCTTTTTTCTCCAAAATATGTGTCAGAATGCATAAAATCAATTCATTTTTTCTAAAATTTTCTTGAGAGAACCCTCTAGGACACTCTATGAGAGGCTTGCGACTATAACACCTCCACAGAGTAGCCAAAATTTGAATTCAGCCTCGACAGTTGTCCCCACCATTGAATCAGTCTGCCCACATTTGTATCCCCAGTCTTGGTAGGCTGGCGCCCCTACTGTGCCCGAGAACAGTTCTACTATTTACTGAGTACAATTGGACTATATTTCTTACCTGACTTGTTTTAATGGATTTGGCAATGACAGCTTTCAGCTTCTCTGGTGTTAATCTAACTTGAATACTACTAGTTCTTCTAGACAGTTTCTTATCTCCAGGCTGTGATTGAATAAAAATTACAATGGTTTTATAATACTACAAGTAACCATTCCAGAGAATTCTGATGTGGGGAAATATTCAAGATTTATGGCATAAAAAGGTCATTTAAATACTTAAAGATGGGTTTCCTTATTTGGTGTCGGATTAAGCAAACAGTTTGATTAATTGGTGTCTCTATTGAATTATCATTTATCACTATATCATTATGTTCTTATTGCATATAATTAAGAGTTTTAACCAATCATAAATGTTCATGTATGTACAGTCTGGATAAGCAAAAAAAGACTTTTTGACCTTTCTTTATTGGTCACTCATTGGAATTCTGCTGGTAATTCTCTTCTAATTTAGCTAATTATGAATTATGGACATGTGAGACAAACTGGTATTTTTCCAAGTCATTAGAACATCTCTACTTTCTATTCATATAAGTATTAGTATTTTCATTTTCATAACTGAAAATAAGGGAACCCATCTTTAAGAAGTTTTAAAATATCAAGTTAGATCTGCATCAAAGAGAATAAAGTAAAATTAAAGGAAAATTTCTAGACCCTTTACAAATGACTGTGACCATTGTGATCTTATGACAATTAAAATGTACTTGGTCGTCAGCAAACATGAAAAAAATGCGAGAAAAAGTCTCTTAAATTACAAATTCTACAACAATTGCTATCAACCTGCGACATATGCAACCATATTGAGTTCCAAAGGAAGGTTACTAATAAGATATATGGGATTGGTGCGATTAATTTTTACGACACTTGTCTACAGACATTTTGAATTCCCTGGCGAACGGAATCGCTGCCTTCACGCTTATACCATGATTTGAGTGACCTTCACATACTAAATTTTCGGTCGCAATGGCAGCTCTGTAAGGACGTCTTTACGGTGTGATGGGTCTATTAGACATTGTGAAGTTTAATTGCAATATTGAACATGAAAGTAGTCCACTCAAACTATGAAACATACTTGACTATTCCAAAGTTAACAATTCCCTGAATAAGCCAAATTCATCAAAAATAATAAATGAAAATACAGTGTACTCTGTGATATCCGAAATCTGAGTATTGCGACATTCTGCATAATCTGACATATTTTTGGGGTCCCCATATAGATAAGCATACTAATTACTGAATAATAATAAACTCTGATTAATTGAAGAATAAAAGTCACAAACTCTGACCTCTTCTGGTATTGGTATATCTGTATTCAGAGCTAAAGCTGTTGTTCCTAAACTGTGTTTCCATATTGACTCTCCTGTAATGAAAACAACATAAATTTTAATAGAAAATGCCCTGCAGTTATTGAAACATAATAAGTTGTATTCATGCCTTGTTCTGAACACATCGAATGCAAAGCTCATAATGCAAATTACCTTATTCATTGAAAAGATGGCACTTCATACGAAGGAATAGACTTTATGACATCACTTAACACCTGCAATAAAATGGGCTTAAAACTGACCTTTCTCAGAAATATATTTGACACTAAAAAATAAGGAAACCCATCTTTAAATAGTTTAATCAATTCCAATTTTAATGATGTAAAATATGATTAGTTTTGAGTTTGTCGGATTGGAGAAAGGCGATAAAGACGATGGCCATTAATCTCATTTAGGGAAATACTTACGTGCTGCCATCTCGAACGCAACATTACCAATAGATTTACCCAAGTCTCGAATTGTTAAAGATTGGCGGGACAACATTTCTTCATCACTCTAAGATAAACATAAAAACAAAATTTAGTATATCTCAAGATTGTGTAGAATGAACAAACAGTTTTTCCAATGGCCAGGACAAAGAAACAAGTGGTTGTCTAGCAAGATACGCCCACATTCCTGATACATTTTCAGTATATCAAGGGCAGTCACCTATCTGTATCAAATCATACCAAAAATCTAATTTGTGCAAGATATTGTTGATTTAAACCTCTATCGCCAACAAATTTTGATGCATTTTTAGTTAAGGGCAACAATTCAAATTCCGATGATCGAAAAATTGTCAAATTCAATCTTGACTAAGATCTCATCATTATAAATAATTATACCAAATTTGTGTTCACAAACAAATTTTGACGCGTTTTTCATAAATTAAGGGCAATAACTACAAAAAAGTTCATTGAAAGATCGTCAACTTCTAACTTGTCTAAGATCTCATCAATATAAATGTTCACACCAAATTTCAATCAAATCAGATAAAAGCTCTTGTCTCAATTGCGTTCACAAGCCAATTGTGGAAGGACGGAAGGACAGACAACAATATACGACCACATTATAATGTGGACGTATAAAAAGATCTTGTTTGAAGAAGAGCAGTGCAGCTGATACCAACCCTCAATTAGATATATTGAATTCTTCAGTATAGGGGACTATTTCAGTGTTCTCAACTCGAACAATCTGGTACCTTGATTCACAGACTTAGGAGGCGAACACTCATGGGAGTAATCTTCTAAGCAACTAATGTTTGTAATAATTAAAGGAACAGATGCGCCATTTTTGGAGATGATATGAGTCTTGAAAATATGTAAATAGTCTTCAAAAGTACTAGAAAATATCTCAAACTAGGAATTTTACCCACAATTTCTATGGATCGCACAGTATCTTAAGATGACAGCTCATCTTTTTCTCAACATTCAAATGCAGATAATTCTGGACACACATAGATTTGAGGGCTGATTGATCAAAAAGAATGGCGCATCTGTCCCTTTAAAACTTGTTTAGAGCACAGGTTCAAATAATCTACAGAAGTACTAGAAATATAGGAAAATCGCATAATTCCTTTAAAAATATCTCAAACTAGGAATTTCACTTTCTATTTCTATATAATTATGTCTTTTCTATATATGGCAGAGTCTCAAGAAAAGACGACTCGTCTTTTTAACACAGATAATTCTAGACACACATGGATTTAGAGACTAAAATTTCGATGGTGAGCTGTAAACATAATACTGATTATAAAAACAAAAATTTCTGTGTATCTGATTGGTCAAATGGATGGCGAGCCTGTTCCTTTAAAAGCCATGAGCTGGTGAAAATCAATTTTTGTAAATTGTTGTGAAGTTGTAAATCATTCATCATAGGCTCAAAGTTCAGGATCAGGGAAAAAAGTACATTCTACTTACAGCTATATGTGTAGAATAAGGGTTGGTGCCATCTGGAAGACAGTTCCTGGGAGTCTGAGATTTTCTTGGAGAGACAGGAGTTTGTTTTATCATCGGTGGATTACAATAATTTTTCACTGGGTGAGGTCCTTTAATTCTTAAAGCTTGCATCTCCTAAAAATTGTAAACAAAATTTTCAATTTGATATATTAGGATCTAATATAAGGTGTTATATATCAGTAAGCTTATATAAAATGAGATCATTATTGTTCTTTGACAAGCCTTTAGACAAGATATCAATCTTATAAAAATGATGTTTAAAAGTGTCCATTATAGAGAATCGGGTGATATAAAAACACTTTAAAGTTACAGTGTTATTTCAAATGAGTGGGGGAAACTTCAGCCCACATGAACACTTGAATAATTAAACCAAGTACTAACAATCCGAACCGTAAAATGAAACCCGAAATACAAACCACATTTTGGCGAAACATTAGTAGCAGCTAATGAACTTTTCATATGAGGAAGTATATCAATTATAAGTGAGTAAGTATTTCATAATGAAAAGTGGTTTCAGGGCAGCTATTGAACAATTCACATGAGGAAGTACATTTATCATAAGTGAGTAAGTAATTCAAAAAGAAAAGTGTCTAGAAGAGAAAGCATAACCTGCTTTACTCTACTTTGAATCCATTTTGATTATTACATTATGTTATTATCATTTATGTTAAAATTATATCATGTTATCAAGGTGTTAAGTTAAAATTATATTATGTTATCATGGTATTATGTTAAAATCATATGCTGTTATCATGGTATTATATTAAAATTATATTATGTTATCATCATGGTATTATGTTAAATTTATATTATGTTATCATCATGGTATTATGTTATCATCATGGTATAATGTTAAAACTGTATTATGTTATCATTTGCGTATTATGTTAAAATTATATCATGTTATCATAGTATTATAGGGTTACGTACCTCAGGGAAGACCTTAGCTAAACAGTCAACAATGGGCAAATCAAACAATCGTTCACGATGAATTTCAAAATGACTGTGTATTCTCTCTAGGTAATGGTTGAACTGAAAAAAAAATATTGAAATGTAGTTTTAAAGGGACAGATGCTCTATTTTTTTGACCAATCGTACCTTAGTCTCAGAGACAGGAATTTCTTATCTAAGCTAAACAGTAATAGTATTCACAGCTCACAGCAGAATTATCTGCGATTAAACTTGAGACACTGTCATCTATAGAAAAGACATCTGAAGAAATAGGAAAAGAAATTCCTAGTTTGAGATATTATGCGATTTTCGTACATTTCCAGTACTTCTGAAAACTATTTATATATATTCAAGACTCGAATCAACCCCCCAAAATGGCACATCTGTCCCTTTAAATCAATTAAATTTTAAGGAAACCTCAAGGCTAATGCAATAAATAACGAAATAAATTCAATTTACCACCATTTTAGTTACAGACTATAATGAAATGAAGTCAATTTACCTCTGCCTTGGTTGAATAATAATGAAATAAATTTAATTCATCTCTGCATTCAGAACATAATAATGAAATAAATTCAATATACCCATTATTTTAGTTATATACTATAATGAAATGAAGTCAATTTACCTCTGCCTTGGTTAAATAATAATGAAATAAATTCTGATATGGTTCCAATAGCTCTAATATTTCTTGTAGATATAACCAAGTTGAACGGCTAGAATAAAAGGAAAAAGAAATTAACGTCTGAATTCTTAATAAAATGGAGTTACTATATTGAGTAAATATTATGTTGTCTATGGTAATACTCTTTCCTTTCCTCCCCTGGTGTGTTTTTCTTTAATTGCAGACAAATTGTAAGTTGAATTTTCATTTCTTAAATTACTACAGAGCTTAAAGATGGGTTCCCTTATTTTCAAAATGAAAATGAAAATGCTAATACTTATATGAATAGAAATTAAAGGTGTTCTAATGACTTGGGAAAAATACCAGTTTGTCTCACATGTCCATAATTAATTCATAATTAGCTAAATTAGAAGAGAATTACCAGCAGAATTCAAATGAGTGACCAATCAAGAAAGGGCAATACATGTACATTTAAGATTGGTTAATGATATGATTAAGAATACATGATAATTCATTAGAAACACCAATTAATCAAATAGTGTGCTTAATTTGACACTAAAAAATAAGGAAACCCATCTTTAATGAGATATATTAGCAATAACTACATGTGATTGCTAATGATGTCCTGGAAAAGAAAAATTCCTACAAAACTACAGTAAATTTTCATTGAATTACCAGAGAACCTGATTTAGATTTTAATAGAAAACTTTAGTTTCATTTTTTTTCTATTAGCTTTTATTTTTAAAGTAGCCACTTCAGTTAAGGCACCCACACACGAAGAGAAAATGGCACGGTCCCAATTACACTTGACTAGTAGCGCTTCGTGTGCGGGTAATTTTTAGTATGCATTTATCGTGTCGAAAATATCTATCGTGTTTAATATTTTTGACCACTCGTGGCCAATGGCACACCGTGTGCGGGTAACTGTGCGCGACTTCCTCAGACGACGAACACAACGGGCATGCTTTATTGGTATTCAAAGATGGCGTCGCCCAGTGAAGTAGTAACAGAAGCAATCCTTGAGGATAAATTTGTTGAATTATTTCTTGCGACTAGCTGCAGACAGTCTGTGACGTCTACGAAGTAATACTAACAACAATAACAACTGCATTCCCTCATCTTCGTCATCTCTTGAACTATCACTGTAGTAGTCTGCCATTTTGATTGATAATGTGATAGGCTGACGTCAGATATAATTGAGTAGTGTAGTGAGAAAGTAGAGCGCCATTGGCGAATGCCAAATTCTCACCGTGTGCGGGAGACTTTAGGCTCTAACAACTGCCATTTTGGACGTTCGACAAATTAACCTTTTGACCAAAAATTTTGACCTGACAAATTTCCAGCACTTGAGAGGTTAGTAATTTGATTGGTTAAAGCAGACCTCACTGAATTGGGTCAATAGGTTAAAATGTCAGACGTTCAAGAGGGCTGTCGTTAGACACTAACCGGAGTTGCCATTGAAAATAAAAGCTAATAAAAAACGGAAAGAACCAAAGTTCTAATTATAATTAGACTGATTTTAATTCTGACAAGGAAAGAGAATTGAAATCCGGACTAACCTATCTTGTTGTAAAGCAGTAATAAAAATGGCTATTAATTCAGTTTTTAATTTTTTTACATCTTCTTCATCAACATTTTCTATACCTTCCTTGATATTATCTTCGATTCTAAAACAAACAAACAAATAAATAAACAAACAAATAAATAAACAATATTCATTAAAAACTCATTCATGCAGTTCTCAAACTTCATTTTACAATGAAAACCAGTGCTGTTGAATTGGCTCTATATATCGGACATGACAGACGGGGAAGCTCAAATGACCGACAGTCAATATCCTCTATCGGACATGAAGTATAGGTTAGCCATTTCATGTCAGTCAATGTCTATGACTGTAGACCAAAACATCTGCCTCTATTCCAGCCTCTGATAGCTATTTAGGCAGTTGTCAGCTGGTGTAGAGACAGAAAAAATAAACCCAGTTTTGTGGAGATTTCTAGCAACTCGTAGGTGCAAGGGTTGTAAACCTACTTATCAAAATCCGGTAAACCAAACCCAGGTATATTTGGAAAGATGAATATTTTAGTAGTTCAGTCATACTAATACCATCATAATCTCCCTACATCATCAAGTCTGCGGTTCCATCAAAGTTTTTTCTTATGAAATAGATCTGTCATCTGCCAGTTAAAACTAAGTGCACAGACATAAGTACGAGGGTCACAGATTCACGTGATACTAACAATACAAAGTATTAGTGTTGCCAAAGTTATCAAATACAAAGTTTTAGTGGAATTGCAGGAACCTGAGATGTCTGATTGAAATTTGCCAATAGGAATGGTACAAATTGATGCTATCATTGTGTCTGATGCACATAAAAAGTTTAAAAACCTCTTTACAATCCCTTTAAAGCAGTTTGAAAGGCGGAACTTTCCCAGTACTTAGTGGCGAAATTGAAGGGGACATAATTCATTCGAGTAGTTGTACTCGCTTTGCATAATCATTGATGTGCATGTAAATAAAAGCTAATATGAAAATCGAAATGAAAGTTGGGTCGAATTTTATTTTGACTGTAAAACTTTTGCAATGGTGATTTCAAAAATATGGTACCAACCTTTTCCTGACTTCTGAAGCCCATCTTGAAGCCCTCTCTCTAGGTGTATCAACTCTTGGTGTGTTCTGAATTGATACTAGACTGTTCCTGCTCTCAGTTAAAACTGGAAGTTGAGGTGTTGTTGCCATTTTTGAGAATTCTAGAAAATCAAAATAAAGGATTCAGGTGTAAGCTTATTATAATTTATTGGAAAATATTAGACAATTTCGTCACTATTTAGCACTTGAGAACGTTTAGAAGTAAGGAATTGTGAAAAAAATCTCAATTTTTAAAGTTAGAAATTTTTTTCGCAAATTTTGATGTGAAAATCATACTTGGAAAAAAAAAACATAACACAATTTCTTATACACACAAGGATTCTGTGTCATTTGTTATTAAAGGGGGCTGTGTTCAATTAATCATGCCGATTACTCATGCATCTTCCTGACTTTGGTTACAATTTATATTGCAGAGTGTCTGCATCAAATACATACTCGCTACTTTGATAGACCACAACATCTATCTCTATTCCAGCCTCTGATAGCTATTTGGACAGATGTCAGCTGGTGTAGAGACAGAAAAAATAGGCCCTATTAAATGGGTCATTCCGCATCTCTGCAGGTGCAGGGTTTTTAAATTTATTTAGATACCGGTACCTCGGACCTGCAAAATCCAGGTATATTTGGAAAGATGAATATTTTTGTACTTCAGTCATACCATCATTTTCTCCCTACACCATTTATGTCATGTCTCAATCAAAGTTTTTTTTGGCGAAACTGATCTAGCATTGGCCATTTAAAACTGCTTGCGCAGCCAAAAGTTAAAAGGACACAGAGTCACGTTTTTATACTAACAAAACGAAAGTTATGGTGATGCCCAACACTAATTTACAGTCATCTAAAAAGGTAATTCAATATTATGTTAGGCTGGAATAGTGGCAGATGTTTCGGACAAGCGACTGTCTGTCAAAGATAGAGAGTTGGTTTGTCGTCTGCTAGGCGATTAGATGCCGTTGGTTCGACTCCTCCTCAAGGTAAGAAAAATTCTGATGCCTGTGGCTGTGCTGTGACTCCCTAACACCTAACTAAAGAAGAGCCTAGACCTAAAGGCAGTTGGAAAAACAAATAAATAGGCCTAATTTAAATTTTGGAAAAAAAAAAATTTCAATCATCATTGTCAACTTAATTCAAATCTCCCTCAAAGTTCAAGTTTTCTCTTTGATAGGCCTTACTTTGTTGGTTATTAGATCGTGGGCCTTTATATTCATTAATAGTTGTTCTGTACGAAAGTTGAGTTGACAGTCTAGTATAACAACAAAGGTTAATGGTAAATTGTCTAAAAATGTCGGGCTCCAAAATACAATGATCAACAATAATTCCATATGTGACATTTGTCTTGATTCAACGATGTTTATGTCAAAATTATTTTTCTCATAAATCTAAACCGTTTTTACCTGATTTAACCTAGCAAATTAGCATGGCCGTCATTTGAAAAAGTTGTTATCGTTGTCAGGACGCCATTTTGTTGAGCCCAAACAAAACAGTCTCGCAGCTTGACCAAGATTTCACTACATCGTTTCATTGGTTGAAATTATCCTAAACTTTCCAGACCACAACTAAAACATATTTATTACCTTCAGTTCACTTTTGAGTTAGGGCTTCGTCCCTAATTTTTTGGCCAAAAAATTGGCCGGCCACTGAAGTAATGACAAAGTGTCAATTGTAACTTTTAGAGATGCAACCTAAATGAGGCCCATAGCTGGAGGTGAGCAAGGGGATGAGATGCCCCGCTGAAAAAATGGGTTGTCCGCCTGACAAAATTCTGACAACCGACCAACACCATTACTGCAACTAAACACCATACACCTTGCCCCTCCGGATAAATTATTTGCCCCTTGCAACAATTCACTATAATTATACATATAAGACAATTTTATCATTATTATATTCCTGATGACGGTGTGAGAAGCACATTGAAACGTTGAAGTAATAAATATTCTAGAAATATCTATCCATAAAATTGTCTTATTTATTTATCTATAATTATACAGTACCCCCACCCCCCATTTTAAAGAGAATAAATAGATATCTCCACATAATTATCGAATACATCGCCAAAATTTAAATCAGGCTGTCGCTCCAATATGAGAAGCATGGCCCATATGGATCAAACCGTTAAGCACTGTAACGCAGTGGCGTTTCTAGGAAACATTAGGTTATAGAGGGTCGAGCAGGGGCCAGAAAATTTTTCAGGGGAGCCAAAGACTATTTTTTCAGTAAAAAATGATAAAAAAGGAATGAATGAATAGGGGCCAAAGCCGGGTTAGTCTCTTTCAGGTTTTTAACTTTTTGACTTTAATTTGGTTCCAAGGTGTTATTAGGCAGAGAATTTGGGTTATTTTTAAAAGTTAGGTATTTGGTCAGTTTTTGACTCTGTGGCCTATTTTCAGGAATAATGTCTATAATTCTTTAATTAAAGGGACAGATGGAACCATTTTTTTTTATCAATCATACCTTTGTCTCAGAAACGGGAATCTCTTCAGCTTAGCCAATCTGTAATAGTGTTCTCAGCCTGCAGTCAAAATTTGAGCCTTCAAATCCATGTGTGTCCAGAATTATCCGTGTTTGGAAGTAAGAAAGTA